CACGATATCGCAAATGGCATCACCAGCCACACCAGCGCACACACCCAACCACCCATATACACCAATAAAAACACAAAAACAAGCGAAGTAGGCCACCCGTCCCTACCCCACCCTACCTTCCCTACCCACACCCACACCTAGTGCTGACCCAAATACCGCGGAAACATACAGCAGACTGGCCTAATTTTGTCAGCGAAACCTAAACCAACGTGCAAAAGCGAATTGAGGAAAAGCTTAGTGCCAACTACAAAAGGATGAAGCTGGAGGAATCCTGCATCGTTTGCAATACACTTTTGATCGGCTTACGCCAATCAGCGAAAGTGTTCAATTCAGTTGCAACGCACCCAACTTGAGTGCTTACTTGCAATAGATCGTCCGATAGTAAACCTGCTTTGCGCCCTTCAAGCCGGCTCTGGCTGACCTGCCTGACGACGCCTTTACTGTTGTCACTACCCTAGAAACTTGAATGACAGTGGAAGTACGTCCCGCACGAACGCCCAGTCAGATAGGTGCAAAATACTGTTCTGGACCACGCCACTGCCTGTTGTTCGCTAGAGTGCTGGTAAATGGTTTGGCAGACTTGATCTCAAAGCAACTATTTTCCCATCTCTCACCAGCCCGCGAATACAAATTCGACATGGGCGGGCATATATGGCAAGGCCTCCACCTCTCAGCTCCAGCTCTTAGAAATAATACCATCGCCATTCAGAAATTCACATAGTAGTGCACTCTGAATCGGCTAGGCTGATAAGGTCGTGCCTCCTCAGTGTGATACTCTTCCATCCACCTCTTGCTTATCAACGCTCCCTAATGTCTGCTTCCAACGCATGTGCCTGATACTGTGATCTACGGAAGGCTTAAACAACAAAAGCCCTTATCCTTGTGGACATTGGCGGCACGCAAGAAACCCTCGATGCAATGTGTAGCCAGGGCTTTTCCAATCCACTACACACACCCACAACCACCGACATACACATCCCCCTGTCCGACAGATACACCCTACAGGACTCGCGACGGAGTCGCGCTGCCAAACGTACTATCTAAGGCACCCAAATCCTCTTGTATCCTCCTGTTTGAACCCCACAACCAGCGTGCCCCCTCTTGTCCCTTTTGAGGATCCAACAAAGCAAACTTCCGGCTTCACGCATGCTCACGCCTACGCAACACAAAACCCGTGCTACTTCATGGTATATTTGGAATTCATTCGATATACTGGGCGTCAACGCCTTCTCCGTGCTCTTTATCAAAACAATCCACTGCATGCTCTTGTTCTTATGACATAGCATCTTCCTGTGTCAAGGTAGATGCGGTCGAGTTCACTTTAGACCAGACGAAAACCTCTGCTGCCCTGAGTCGCTTCGGGGCCAAAAACCTATGCAAATGTGGGCTGGTTACACTGGGCATACAGAAGAATCTCGTAGATTGCGACCGAAGTGGCTTGGCAGCGCAAGGAATGCTGAAGGCCGCTATATCGCAGGATGCCCTTTGTTTCCGTCTGCGAATTATAACAAAAACACGCTTTCTCAGGAAATTATCGCAAAGGCTGACAGAGATATGCGCATTGTGACAGCACGCAAATTGCACGACTCCCAGGGGGGCGATTCCGTCCCCCCTAGCTTCCGTACATCGCGTCCCCTTAGTGGTGCTGTAAACTGTAGGTGAGATGCAGCGAACAGCAGAAACATGATCCCGTTGCTGAAACAAAGTTGCATTTAAAACTAACGAGCGCTTTCCATGTTTGAAAAAGTTGTGTTGCACGCTGAACGGCTCGTGGGTTCACGCATTCATTATATTGATAGGTGCACGTCTCTAACGCAGACCTATCGACGAGACATCGCCGAGAAGTACTTGTACGCGACCGAGCCGGAGAATCCACTTTATCAGCAGCCAAGAGGGCAAGCACGTCTGCCCCTGCAGGAGATATGCCGCAGAAGAATGAGCATGCCGGCAGAAGGCAACTGGGGACTAGTGGACCATGTTTCCAGGGCGAACGCTCTGGTATGATTTGCGTGTACAGATACTGTCTACTCTCAAAGCTTATATGATACAACTTGCCCATTGGCATGCACTAAATCGCTGTGCGGCCAGTCTTCCCTTCTCGAGAAATTTCTTTTACATGGAGAGGCATGGATACTCCGTTCCTGCCGACAAATACCTACATCTTCGCATTTATTTCTTTCTGGATCCTCTAGCCTCCGCTTATTCATTAAGTAGCCGCTGGAATTTCCGTTGGATCTGATGGCTCTGCTGCACTGAAGGATCAGATACACCATTGCGACTGTGGCAGCCAGGGAGACAACCCCGAATAACAGCGGTCTCGTGAGTTCGCTTCCTCGTCCTGGTGAAGGTGAACTACGGCCATACTTGAGACCTTGCTGGGAAATAGGAACAACTTGTACTTCATCGGTGCCACTCGCCCCTGCTAAAAGTGCCACAGTGGCAAAGAAAAGTGTACTGAACCCCTGCATTTTCTGGATTAAATGGGGACTTTATCTCGTTCGCTATGGTGGAAAATATGACGTGCTTAAATTTCAACGTGTGTATGGGAAGGACGCTTCGCCTGAACTTCAGCCCGCTCACCTCGAGCATGTGCGGCTTTGGAGTCGGCGCGCACAGGATTGTGCAAGGGAGTATGCTGCGCAGCTCCAATGCATGCCTTCACCAGATATAGAGGTCATGATTATTTCCTTACTATTCAGGAAAATAGTCACAATATTTCATGCAGGTGAAAGCGATACGCAATATGGTGAATCCCTTTTTGCCTCCTGCCTCAGGAGCTTGGACGGTGCTCGGCAGCACTGGTATTTGTGGGTGCGCCTAATCTGTTGATATTCTGCAAACGGAGCTCCAACGAGGACATCCTTCCTTTAGAAAACATATTAGTCAAGAACGTATTTGATTCCTTGGATCCTGTGTGTCTTTGTAGCGAAGGTGTGTGACAGGATTCTGGGCCCGTCGTCCGCTGCGCTGGAGAGCAGATGCGTAATTTTGAAAATTTCCCAACAACATATGATGCTTTTCCACAGCCATCTGGCTTCCCCAGCGCAACGGTATAAGGTCTTTGAGCTGTCGAGGCAAGCTGGAGGCCTGTCGTGCCATGTCGCACACCTTGCTCCAATACCTGCTGCAAGGCAACTCCGCAAGCAAGCATCAGGACACGCCATCTGCCGCATGCACTGAAATATTGAAAAATTTCAAAGCATATGTGTGTCCCCCAACACCCAGCATATATGCAGGGAGAGAAGCACGTAATGAGCTGGTCCGGGCACGGTTTACACCTCCCCCGTCCCGAAGCCACAACTCCACTCATGGGTATTCTTCCCCAGCAATGCTCAACCGAGGACTGGGGGCGTGCAGAATTCTTCGTCTGCTGCAGTTCCTGTTGTATCTTCTCCTCCCTCGTTTTTTCCCCCTTAATATATCCATGGTGTGTTTTGTTTTACTCCTTCATTTGCTGGTGCTTTTGATGTGATTGGAGCTGCGGTGGCTCAGGTGGAAGTCTGCGCTGCTGTTAAAATATAGAACGAAACACCACTATAATGTGCACGGAGCGCAGCTTCGAAGCCGAACCCATCAAGTGCTGACTTATGAATATGTATGTAGATCAAAAGTCATGTATGTACATATTCATAAATGGCCTAGGCTTGCCATGTAAATACAGAACAAAAGCTACAAGAGCATTTAGGAAGATGCACAGAGAGCAACTGCAATACGTTTCTCGGTTAATTTCTGCTTATTTGCAGCAGAAACGAACAGCCAATAACTGAGGTATAGTTCTCGTGGCAAGGCCTGTGGAAAACAGCCTACAAATTCCCGAATTTCGAGAAAATTCTGCCCTCAAGAATCGCAAAGCATGATTGTTCAACCGTCAACTAAGTCTATAGGTGCCAGTATGTCATGTTCAAGCAGCAAGGAGTATTTCGGCACCTTTCAGGCTGCTGCGGAGGTCCTGTGCAGCTAGCCCAGGGAATGGCACAACTCTGCTGCCGCCTCACATGTGGATTGACGATTCTGCACAGTGTATTAGAATGGTGCAAAACAATAAGGAAACATATTTCCATGTGGGTCCTGCGAGTGACTTCACCATGACACTCGCGTCGCTTTGGGGATGTTTCTTGAACGTCAAGGAGTACCTGCGAGACTGTCAATTTATGGTACGTTTCGACGAATACCCACGTGGGTGTGCCAATGAACGTTTAATGAATGGACCTTTCTCTCGGTTCACTGCCTCGTATGGGCTTCTGCCGGAAATCTAGCCTGTGCTGTTCCCGTATGCCGTTTGTAACAATGCGGCATGCAATAGTGCAGCACTGCTTCGTCCCTGTCTTGCTGATGGGCAAAGCATCATCCGCTGTAAAGTCCATAGCAGCGGCTGTTCTGACATGCGCACACCCAATGCCAACGCGCGTCCTGCTTACACACAGCAAACCGTTTAAAACGTTCAAAGCAGAAAAAGCAGCGTCTCCGTTGTCTGCATTGTCCCTACGGCAGCTCCCGTGCTTGTCAGAGCGGGGACAGGCGAATTACCAGTGGGCGCCCCTGCAAACTTTGCGAGGTTGGAAGCATTCGCGCTGTTCTCCGTAGTCTAGAGGGACCACTGGGACAGGCGAAGCCACAAAGACGCTCTGGAGCTAGCTACGCCCGTTCATGCGGTACGAAGAGACATTGGACCCAATTTAAGCAACTGCGGCAGGGGGCGGGAAAAGCAGCACCCAGCCACTGACATGCAGACACATTGCGATGGAAGCACACCAGCAAGCAAGCATGTAAAAATGAATGTCGTCTGTTCCAAAGGCGCAAATGCATATTGTAGTAAAGTGCTAGCGTGCAACGGCTCGAAGGCAGAAAGCTGTCTAGCGAGACGCATGCGATGCGTGCACCGCATGCGGATGCACCGAAATGGCTATGCGAGCCCGTGGTGATGCAAAGCCGCAACGACGACAAGGGTAGAGGACACAGTTGTGGCACCATGCATGCAAATGAAATTCGGGTACGGGGCATCAGAAGTCCAGCTCTCCCCCCGTTACCACAGAGGGACGGCTTGGTTCTTCTCTTCCGCCAGGCTTGTCAAAACGAATGATGTGTTTTTCTGCTGCACTCAGCGAATCTTGCGCTTCTGCTCCCGTTCGTATGTAGCGCACAATTCTGAAGAGACAAAGAAAAGCGCATCTCCCAACCACACACACCTTACATAAGCAACCCACAAGCTCCCACAGAATACACAACACGGGGGAAGACGACAGATACGGGCTCGCGAAGTGGGGATATGCAGCAGCAAAATAAGAGGAATCAAGCAACAGGCAAACATACACACATACATACATACATACATACATACATACATACATACATACATACATACATACATGCATACATAACATACATACATACATACATACATGCATACATACATACATACATACATACATACATACATACATACACATACACACACATACACACATATACACAAACAGCATGTAGCACAAGGCAAGAGCTTTAAACAAGCAAGCACGCACAAGGCAACCTGCTGCGTCGAAACAGGGGTGAGAACCAGGAGGAAGGAGCGATGGGGACAGATGACGCAATAAATAGCTATATGTAAGGGTAAAAATTGACAAGACGCGCAGGCACCGAATAGAGTTAAGAGGAGCACCGTGGAAGCCTTTCCAAACTCAGCAGAACTACGTAACGGCACACAAGATCCTCAGTAGAAGGGAGCAAAGAAAGACCCGCCGCACCACCGCAGCAACAAACAGGCAGTGGCACCAAAACAAACAAGGGTAGAGCGGCAACCAGAAAGATTCAGCGACGCGCAGAATTTGATACTAACACCCGCAGGGTTGCAGCAGCAGCCCAAACTAAGAACTAGCAATCCCAAAGACTCCCCGGCAAGGAGGGGCAGCAGCAATCACGGGGAGACACCTAAAGGCCACCTCACCTCACAAATTGCGCCACGTATCGTATTGTGAGGAGAATAACCGTAACAAACTCGTCAAGAGACTCCACCACGCCAACCTGCGATCCGGACGCCAAACCATAAACCCCTAACAAATGCCCCTTTCCCCACAGAAGTTATGTGCAGTTAGCCAGAGAAAGCTCTCACTCCGAAATTCAACACAATGCCCTCGATAGGCTTATCCCCCGAACCCTTAAACCAGACACGAAGCCTCGGGGTCCCCAAGGGTTCGGTTTTGGGGGTTTAATTTATAACAAGAGGCGCTAGAGTATGCTTCCTCGCTCACCACTTCTAGGAGGAGGAGCAGCCAACTAGCAAAGCAGACCAAGGAGACAGCGAAGTCAAAGACGTGCCAGCCACTACTCCAGAAAGGCTGCAGAACAGTTACACTGTTGCAAAAATCTAGATTCTTTCCCGTCCGTAACGCACTCTAGAAAACATATAGGGGCAATCGGCCGCCGTGTTGGTTGTAAACACAAGACAGGTGTTTAGGGGTCTATGGCTTTGCAAGCAGCCTCCGCTACGTAAAATTACCTTTCCTAAGAGAATCATATCGGCGATCGTTTCAAAGCAAACTGCAAACGTTATAAGGCCGTCCACAGCGCAGACCCAGACGGGAACGGGGTTCTTCCGCTGTACGCATTCAAAACCCATATCCTATGCCATATGTCGTTCATGCTGACACAGCCACCACAATTCCTGTGCATGTGACCACTAGCGATGCAAGTGCAACACGTGGATAGTAAACGCGGCAGCACGAGAAGCAGCATCATCAAGAAGCAGCCGGCATAGCGTATTGCTTGAGGCCCTTCAGCAGCAGATGAAACACTACAGCTACGGCCCCAGACCCTAAACCTTGACACGCTCACAGCTTCCCAACTTACAAAGTGGACATCTACGATCATAAATACGACAAGGCACACAGTCGCGATAGCCATTAGGAAGCAGTAGGCGAGGTACCATCGGGATAGCCGTATGTTGTATATAATACCCTTGCCTATGTCGCTCTGTATAGATAGCGCTACGGCGCTGTTGGCCTTCTGCCGAGATGAAAGCAGCGGGTTGACCTCCCGCGTGAGGCCCCGAGGGACCTCATCGTCCTTCTTGTCCTCCATATCGCCCTCAACGAGAATGTGCAATCCGTAGGCTGCTGTTGGTGGTGCTCCTGTTGAGGCTTTTGCGGTTGCTGCTATTGCCTTTGGTGTCCGGTTAAGCAGAGGCTGCTCCCTGCACCTCTGCTAAGTCCAGTGAGAGTATTATGCTCACAGAGACAGCTCTGTTCGATGCCTTCTCGAGTATGCGCTTGAAGGTGAAATATGATTGACCTAATCGGAACTCTCCACAGGCTCGAAAGCTGGCTGCAGCGCCCTGCCCCGGTTAGGAAAGCGGGGACAGGTAAGGAGAGGCAGTCACTATCCGGAAAATGTGCAGAAGACTTAGGCCAAAAAGACTGTGTTTCCCCTCCCTGCGAAGCAGAACTCACAGGGCAAATGCAAGCAGCGCCGCAACAGCCGGCGCCACTAAGGAGGATTACGACGGACACCTAGCTGCTCTTGGGTGGTAGGGGACAGCAACCCTGTTTGGTTTTGTTATTGAGAAAAATCTGCTCCAAAACTCTACTCAGTATGCTCTTAAACGTGGAGTTGAAGGTTTCAAGGCGCTCGAAGCGCCTGGAATTGCTTGGCCCCGCCGCCGCAGTTGGCTGCCATTGACAGAACTAGACCACGGCATACAGCGGCGTTCCCCCTTATAAACATTCAAGCAACTATTTTTCCAAGCATTTCTTTGAGTTAAAATTGCCGCTTTCAAAAATCTTCGAACTTTCAAGGAGCCCTTTTTTCTGTTAGCTAACGATCGTCTAAGCGGTCGATGGCATAGCATTCGTGCTCTGATTGGATGTTTCCTTTCATATCCCTTCAAATGGCTCATTTTTCTGTATACGTGCTGCCCCGTTTATGATAAATCACGCTAAAGGTCCATCGAGAACGGCACATTTCGATTAATGCCCCCCCGGGATATTCACGGTAACTTGCGTCCACACGTTTTGCAAAGGACTGCAATAGAATTGGCAGGAGCTACCTGTTTCCAACTCTTTGGAGTTTCCAGGAGTCCTGGGCATAGCGGCCAAAGGGCCTGCCTATACGGTTGGCGGGACCTGTCATGATGGAGCATGGCCTAACAGGACTTCGTACGTGCCTCTCTACTGCGTTCGTGCCCTCAACTAGGAACTCGATTATGTCTTTGCATGCAGCGAAGCTTTACCACCAATTTTGCAGCAGTTTTATGGATGCCTAAAGTTCTCATACGAAATAGCATCCATTTTTCAGTATGTGCTCAAGAGCACGCTAGTGTAGTATATTTGTTAGACATTGGCTCGCTGATTAATTGATTTGCATTGAGATTGAATACAAAGCATTGCGACATTGACCTCTTTGTCGTGCGGTGTGGATGAGCGCATGCTGTGACTGCTGAACACTTATTACCCTCCTACCCTTGTTGATCTCCTCTTCCAATCTAACACTGTTGCTTTATTGCTCATGTTGCTTTACTCTTCCCGTCTTGTAGTGTTTTCTTTCTCTGGCTCAACGGTTGCATGTTTACGTTGTGCTTTTTCGCGAGTTCACCGGAATCCCCATCTCAACCAGTCACCTCAACCCTCCTTTGTGCGTCACTCTATGATTCCGGTGCACGCCTGTAGTACAAGAACCATATTGGATGAAAGCGTAAGAGTCTCTGCAGCAGAGAGTAGCTCAAACGCGCACCACTAGCGCAATTTCAGCTACTTCGCAGCCATCTCAGTCTTGTAACTTGGGAATACAGCTTAACTCCCACCGCGATTGATTGTGTTTGTCTTTGTGCGAAGCATTCCCCACAACGCACGACTCTTGAGTGTCGATGTAGTGCTTGGCATTTTTGGGGGGGGCTGACTCTAGCCTAGCTTGGCAATCAGCGTTGAGCTTTCGTTGTTCCAGTTTCCAACACCGGTCACAGGTAGTCGAAGCCATGACGTCTTAGAGTTTATGACTTTGTGTTGTCCGGCATGTGCTTGTATGTATTTTTTGTCGAGTAGCCTGCAAATATAAAAGCTGTTGGGAAATGATACATGCCATTATGGCAGTATCTCCTAGAACTTACAGCTTTGACTGTTGGCGCTCGTTACGTAGCCGTGCCCCAGCACCCAGGCGTTTCCTACGGCGACACCAGGTCAAACAGCAACATCAGGCTGATTATTAAGGGGTGCACCCTGTATGGGACAGAAAAAACCAACGAGGAAAGCCCGAACAATGCGGCGGGCGGTTCTCATCTACGAAGTTACAGAGGTAGGCGGCAACTGAGAATAGCAGTTGTACAAGGGCCGCCTCCCAGTTAGAGGCAGGAAAAATTCAAGTGGGCTATTATTATTTAGTTCCGCCTGTTTCAAGCCAGGGCCGGTTAACATTTGCGTTGATTGACTTTTCTTGACAGTTTGACGTCGCAACTAATGGTAGCATTCAGACGACAACCATCAGGCTTCTCTGTCTTTTTCCTCGCAAACGACAAAAATGAGAAGTCGCGTGGCAATCTTTCTCAGCGCACAGTAGCCGGTATGCACAAGCAATTACTAAAGGCTGATCTCTTCACTTCAAACAAGTTGCAGACCCTTCTACCCAACAAATGTGCATTGAAGTGGCAATTTGTCCTGCATTGCTTGAAATATGCAATCGTAACGTGTATGATACCATCCTGTCTTCCTACTGTAGTCGTGAGCCAACGAGCATTAAATCGAAAAAGGCAAACCGCCTAAACCACAATATGTTTCCACTGAAAAAAAGCTACGGGTTCGAACAATTCTAGAACCAGATACTTGCGCCGGACCATGAGTGCAGAGTGGACACGTCTGGTGTGGAACTGGTCTTTCCACGCCGCATTGTATGCTCTGATCACAGTTGGCGTCAGGAACATGTTTGCTTCGGTCCCCCACCTAACACAAGTCTTTTTACCGATTGCAATAACGGAAGCCACTTGCAGGTCTCTGCGCGTGCAGCTCCGTCAACTCGTTGCGTTACGCCACGACACGATATAGTACTACGTGCATATATCCGCTCGTTGTCGATATCTACTAGATTGCCTCATTGTAAATAATGGATTCTTGTGCTTGTATTGTATGCAAGTCGTGTGCGCTTTTAATTCAGTTTCAATTTGGGACTTCTTAACTCCTTGCGTGTGTAGGGGACCCGACACAGCAAACAGAAGCAGCCCAGCCACATCTGGCAGTTGCCTGCTGCTATCTAAACTCTAATATCTGGCAGTAAACTCTGAATTCTAATATTTGTTTCCGGTGACCCACTCAATACGCTGGCTTTTGCTCTTCACATCTTCCCCACGTGTCTTCACGATATGAAGGCAGTCCCAAAAAGACACTCTATGGCTAGCTGGTTAGCCAAGGGCCCCAGCTAGCCTCGAAATACCGCTTGTCTAAAACATTTGGATGGGACCACTGCAGGGGACATTGGGGTGTGCAGCCTGAAAGGAGCCACAGCAACTGCAGCAGTGGCGCCAACGGCAGTTGCAGCACTGGCAGCAGCGATAGCGTTCCAGTTTCAGCATCTGCAGGAAAACTGCTGCTCATTCAGAGCGACATGGATGACAATCCTAGATTCGATGCCTTGCCGCTGCAGCTACCTCACCTACTTGTCATTCAACGCAAGAAAAGCGACAGGAGCTACGAAGGCAGCAGGCAGAACAGAACGAGCAGGAGCTGCAGATGCATTAGCAACGGCACAGCATTTTCACCAAGATGTGTGCTAAGCGTGGAGTACCCCTGCAACTATTCGACTGACCCCCAAATTGGCCCGCCTCCTGAAGCTGCGGCACATCCAGCTGCCGACACAACAGCACGTGCACCAGGGGCAGCCAGCAACGCCTTGTCGAGGGCTACATGCGCTGCTCTGCATGCTTGCCACACCCATGGCTGCGCAGATGCACTCAAGTATACCAAGCGACAGCCTCCGGGGACGCAGTTGCTTCAGGCGCCCGAAAAGGAGCCCATCTGGGGGCCCGTTGAAGGACGCAGTGTGGACGTTCATCAGGGGAATGCACACAACAGCTCAGTCTCCGTTTCTTGGGGCACTTTGTACCGCCCAAGGACCTTTTTGGAGGTGCAAGAGGGCAACAGGCCCAACAGGTGCCCAGAAGCCACGGCTGCTTCTCCTGCTGCTGCTGCGGATTCGCAAGCACAGCACAACCCACGCCGTAGATACAGCAACCCGAACAGCAGGAGCAGCAGTAACAGCAACAAATACTACAGTAGTAACTGTAGCAGCGGCAGGGACAGCAGAGTTGGACAGCGGGCTTCGTGGATGTGCGGCCATCAGGTGCGTCAACGGAACTCACGACAGCAGGAGGAGGGGCAGCGGCAGCTGCAGCGACGAACCTGCCCTGCAGTGAGTGACAGATGGAGCTGCACCAGATGTTGCAGCCCCAACGCCCATTTAGCGCATGGGCGTTTTCCTGCTGTAGGCCATGAGGCCCCTGCCGATTGGAATGGCAGGCATGTTCCTGCTACTGCATCTGCTTTTATTCTTGCTTCCACGGGTGATAGCGCTTCCCCAGTTGCTGCGCCTGCCACAGCAGGGCGCGGTTATAGCAGACGCCCCCCAGCAGCAACAGCAGCAGCTGATGCAGCAACAGATGCTGTAGATCAAGCAGTTCCTGGCATCTCTTCAGAACCTCATTATAAGCAGTGGAACGTGTCCACTGCAGCCCAACTGCCCTCTAGTGCACGAAGCCTGAAACGAGTATCTCCTTCTTCTGGTGATTGTGGTGCTGTTGCTTCACGCTGCGGCACCGGGGGGGCTCAGTTGGGACCCGTTGGTTTAGAGGAGTCTCAGACAGCATGCCTGGGTGCTTCAACGGACTCAGCACAACGGAGCTTCAGCACGAGCTGCTGCTGTAGCTGCAGCAGCAGTAGCACGAAGGCCACAGCAGGCACTAGAGCAGTAACAACACCAACTGCATCTTCTAGGCATATTGCTGCGCCCACCCGTTGGACCACTCGTAGAACGCAGCAGCAACTCCACGGGCAGCAGACGCTCGATCCAAAGGAAGAGGTTCTCGACAACCGGCAGCAGCAGGAGCTGCAGCAGAAACAGCTGGTGCAGCTTAAGCAGCAGCACGAGAAGGTGCAGCAGCAGCAGGCGGTGCATCAGCACGAGCAGCAGATGCAGCCGAAACAGCAGCGATGGCGGCAGCCGCAACTTGAGCAACACAAAAAGCCGCAGCAGACCATACAGCAGATGCAGAAGAAGGCGCAGCAGCAACCATCTCAACAGCATATGGATGCTGCTGATGTGCTGGCTGCTGTGTCGTACGCTTCTGACGGTGCTGGTGGCCGCAATAACCAGCAACTGCAGCAGCTGCAGCTCCAGCGACAGCAGGATGCTTCTGGGGTTTTCTCACCAACAGGCGGAGCAGAATCAACAGGTTCCGCTGCTGCTGCTGTTGCAACAGATTCAACCGCCGCCACTTCATCAGACGCAGCAGTTGCTGCTCCTGCAGCGGTTGCAACGGTTGCTTCTACAGCATCACCTGTTGCTGCTGCGGCTGCCCCAGGACTGGCATCAGCAGAGCAATTGAGCATGCATAGCTGCAGATACGAGCTTGAGTTGCCCTATCTTCAGCAGCGGCGGATGCAGCAGCAGAAACACCATCAGCAGCAAGAGACACGACATCCGCAGGTGCAGCAGCGGCAGTTGTACACATGCATTGAGCATTTCTGCCGGGTGCTACAGCGCTCTGCCTGCCGCCGGCCTTGGCGACAGCTGCTGTTGCATGCCGCGCAGCAGCACGCACTGCAGCACCAGTTGCAGCAGCAGGCCCGCACTCCAGGGCAACAGTACTACCGTGCGAACAAGCAGCAGCAGGAGCAACTTGCGCAGGAGGATGTGCAGCAGCTGCCGCTTCTCCAGAAACATCAACAGGGCACCCAATGTCTAAACGTCATGGAGGCAGACCTTCACAGCCTCTCCCTCCGCGATGAAGCCAGCAGCAGAGACACATGTATGCGGCTGGAAGACTACCGAAGGCGATTGCGACAGCAGCAGCTCCGCCACAAGCAGCTGCAGCTACAGCAAAAGCGGGAGCAGCGCCAACAACACAAGCAACAGCAGCAGCTCATCCAGCAGCTTGCCACTGCAGCACAAGAGCTGAAGAAGGCTAATGACCAGCAAGAGGCCCTACAGGGGCGTCTAGCAGCCGCCCTCTCCCGGCTGCAACAGCTGGAGCAGCAGCAACTGCAACAGCAACAATGGCGACAAGGGGACCCTCGCGTACGTGCCTAAAATCAGCTGCAGCACAGAGGCTGCCTGAACGGCATTGCTTCTCTGAATTGCTTTCCAAACCTGTCCTCTGCTACCGTTGCACTTCGCATGCTTGCAGTAGTTTTGACTGTTGCCACTCGCCGTCGCAGTCGATGGAGCGTGATTTGTAGTTGCTGCCGTCCTGTTTGCTGCAGCAGCTGCTGTCTGCTACCAGCCCTGGTGTCTTCACAATTCAGCCAGCCGGCGCATCCAGAAAATTTTCACCCGGACCGTACGTTTGTTTGGGCTAAATTCAGCGCCTGATTGTTTTGCTATGCCATGCTGTTGCTCAGACATAGTTGAAGTAGGAGTAACAGAAGCAGCAGCAGCAGCAGCTGCTGCTGCTACTACTGGCGTTGCTAGCAATGTAGCAGCTTGCTGAACCTCTCAGTGCGGCAGGCTCCGAGCACCAGGTACCCTGGCTGCTGCTCGACGTCACAACAAAATGACGCAGAGACTTGCCACGGGACGCCAGGGCCCATCGGGGTTGCACATCGTGCTGCTGTCTCTGGCGTGGTTACTGCTGCTGCAGCTGCTTTAGGAGCAGATGCGGACTACTAGAAATCGCGACCCGAACTAGTGTAAGGAAATGTGTATGTTGACGGGGGGTCGCGATTTCTAGTAGTCCATAGTTCTTAAGGGCAGAAACGTGCATGCAGCCATGCAACGACCACAAGCACTCCTAAAACACAAGCGTGCCAGCTGGTGGCACGGCAGCTGTTAGCGGTTCAGAAGCGCAGCAGCAGCGGTGCAGCAGCTCGCGTGGCAGCAGGTCTGGAGGAGCTGGTTCTGTAGAGCCCTAGCAGTAGGTCCTGTTGATCCAGGAGCGTGCAGGAGCGGTGCAGCAGGTGGGGGTGAAACTCGTCACTTTGCCTATATCAATTCTTACTTGAGAAGCCTTGCAGTTCTTCGGGAAAACTTTCTGCTAAACATGCAGCCAACTGACCGACATTGCAACACCATTGGTCCAGCAGCTCAGCAACACATGCAGCTTCCTCTTCTTCCGGTTGCCTTAGCTGTACGCACACCCCAATACACCATGTAATATCTATTAGAGGCAGAATAAACCCATACAGCAAGCAGCTTTAGCTATCGCCAGACCAACAGCAGTAGCACCCGCAGCAGCAACAACCCCGGCACCACCACCAGCAGCAACAATGCCCACTGTAGCAACAGCAGCGACGGCGCACTCGCAGCATATTTGCTTCGTCATCAATGAGTGCGGGAAGCTGTCCCTGTTGAATGACCTGCCACGCGTAGAAATACCCCAGAGAGAAACGCAATCTTGAACCCCAAATGGCGCTCCAGCTGTCAGTAATATAAGCAGATATGAGATACGGCGGGGGAACAGCAAGCTGATGCAGCAGCAGCAGTTGCATTCAACGGTTAAATCGGTCGTAAGTAGGCAAGCCGACAGCAACGGATGGCAAGAATTCAAACAACCACGGCAGCACCAGGAGCTGCAGCAACACTAGGGCTTGCCTGCAGCAGCAGCTGCCGTGTGCCTTCTTCTGAAAGCCGCAACGTCTGTTGCAGCCGCCGCAGCGGGAAGACTGAGTAACAGCAAGAGATGGCCTTCAAGCGCCGCAGCCTGCAAGCATAGATCCATCTACACTCCAACCCAAAGCCGTAACCCATAGCTTATAATGCCAAATTCTAGGCTCTAAACCCTTAACCTTCAATTGCTTGTAGATCGAAGTGACCCACCGAACGGCCAGCAATAGAGCCTTGCTGCAGTGCACAGCAAATGGGTCATTCTTGCCCAGAAGCTTCAAGTGCTGCGCACACACCGTCACCCTCGAAGCCCTGAAGCCAAAACTGCAAAGCGCTAGTTGCGCTGGCTTCTGCGTCTACAGCAAGAGGATGAGGATACAGGTGCCTGGAGAAAAACGGGTGCATATGGCCTGGGGTTAAAGGGTTAGGGCTTCCCGCCGGAGAAACACCTTGTCAACACCTTCAACATCGTTGGCTTCGAATGCTGCCCGCAAAGCCTTCGCACACTGCACTTCCGGGTCGCCCTGCAGCAAAAGCAGCACAAGCAAAATCCGAAGCAGCAGCGTGACTGCAGCATGCTCAGCACATGTGGCAGTAGCGAACAGCGCGCCGCTGGCGCTAAACATCAACAAGAGCATCGACAGAAACATCACGATCAGCCCCCAGAGCACCACCGGCGGCAACAGGAGCAGCAGCCAACCTGTAGGGCCTTTCCTTCTCTCGTGCTGAACGGGTCAACAGACGAAGCTGCCAACGGAGCCGCAAGCACCGCACGGCGCAATGCAGCAGCAGCTGCACTGCACGCCCGCAGAACCCCAAACGTTTAACCCAACACTCTCAGCCCCCAGTTGATAAGCACAAGGCACTGCAAGGGAGCAGACATAGCATGCGAATGGCCCGGCAACGTAAAGTTGAAAGCTCCCCTCAGCACTTGCGGTTGTTCGGGGTTTAGGATTTAGGTTTTGCGGTTTGGGCGCTAGGGTTTGAGGGAGTTCACCGCGTGTCGCCGACTTCCTGATAGTGGCGGAATGCCGCCATGAGATGAGCGTGAATGCCAACCCAGGGCTGCTGCTGTTGCTCCTCCTCTTGCTGCTGTCCTTGCTCCTGCTGTAGCTCCAATTCTGGGTGTACGTGCATCTCTAGCAACAACCGCGCCCCGCACTCTCGGACTGCTGCTGCGCTTCTGGGATCTAAGGAGGCGGCTGCGAGCTGCAACGCGTGAGGTAGCAACTGCTGGAGTTGCTTCCAGTCTTGGGTGTAAGTGTAGCAGAGCACCTCCGCTGCTGCTGCTTCCAGTTGCTGATGCAGTGGCAGTGATGGGTCTCTGCCTGCCCCGTGAACGCTCGGCAACAGGCCTTGCGCCTGCATGCAGAACCAGTAGTCCCCTTGAAAATGATTTTAAAGTTCCACAGGCTGTGTACCAATGAAACTCTACCCGCATGCCTTCAGGCGACCAGGTGGCGCAAGCAGCAGTAACACCAGCAGTACTGGAAGCGGCAGAAGCAGACACAGCAGCAGCCGTTCCCGCCAACTGCCTGTCGCGGATGTGACTGCTACTCACGAGAACCTTCAATCCAGCATACGCGGATGATGATAATGAGTACTTAAATCCTAATTAGTAAACCCTAATAGTAAACCCTAAATCCCAGCTTTCCTGCTGCCGCACCTTTTGCAATTCGCCCAGCTTCACGTACAACAGCAGCAGTTGACTGCAAACGTGGGCCCACAGCCGCTGCTCACGACAAAAAGCAACACCATCCACACCCTGAAGCCTAAACGCTTTGTCGAAAGCAGCAAACTCTAGGCAGTAAGGTGCATGGCCCATGCTCAAAAAATATGATAACCTAGCAAGCACCCAGCAATCCTGCGAGCTTCTGCAGATGCTTAGTGGTATACAGTTTAGATTTGAACTTACATTCAACCCCTGGGATTCTAACGCGGCAATAGTAGACAGCATGAGCTCTTCCAGCTGCTGTTCGCCTTGCTGTAAGCAAGGGGTTTTGGTGTTTCCTTCTCCCTCGCTCAAAGGCTGAAGGTCTTCAGTGTTTGGCTGCCTCCGACAAAGATGTGCATCCGCCCTTTGCTGCTGGTGGTGCTTCTGCTGCGATGAAGCAGCGAAGACGTCGGGTAGACCATCGTATTGTCGGATGCCGGCGCGTTTGGTAGCAGCGGAGAGGACGGCTTGTACTGCTGCTGCTGCATCACTAGCAGCAACAGCAGGCAGCAGCTGCAGCAGCCGCTGGTAGTCCGCAGCTGCCCTCAAGAAGTCCCCTGCAGTGGTAGAGGCACGAGCAAAGGCACTAATGATTTGGATACAGGCCCTCACGGGAAGACTAGGACTGGAAAGGGGGTCACGTCCCTGGTCCCAGCCGCTGCTGAGTTGCAGCATGAGCTTAAGCACCTGCAAGTACAGCAGGACCAATACCAGCAACGGTGGCACCAGTTTACCTTCTCTCAGGAACAGCAACGTAAGCGACAGAAGAGACTTAAAAGACCATGGTTTCTGAGGGGCTTCCGCCTCCCGTTGGAGCACCTCCTCAATCAGAGCCACTGCCTGCAAACACAAACCCTAAATTCTAAGTTCCAGACAGCTAAGCACACGGATCTAGTATGTGCGACAAGGGAAGTGGTTCGCAGCTGTACAGTCTCAGCAGTTGCACACAAGTGTACGACGACTTAAGGTTTAGTTTGGGTTTAGGGCCTAGTCTTTGCCTTCTCCGGTTTCGACTGGAGACAGTCTTGGGCCTCGTAGTAGAGGTTCTCTATGAGAATAGAACCTTCCTCTTCAGGCCCCCAGGGCCCCCCGTCTGACTCATACTCGAAGTCATACCCGTCCTCCATTCCATGGAAAATCCTGGTGTTGCTGCTACGGCAGCTGTTGTTGTTGTTGCTGCTGCTGCAGCTCCTGCTGCTGCTGCACTCGTGCGGCTGGGCTTGCTGCCTCTGCCACTCCCCGTGTAGCTGCCGCGCCGCTGTTACAGCGGCTGCAGCAGGAGAAGAGGTTGTTGCTACCTTTCTGTATGTGTGTTTGTTATTCTGATATCCTTCTTCGAGAGCCAGCAGAAAGGGCAAAGCAATCTTTCAGTCTATTTCTCTACGGGTTTGGGGTCCGAAACCCCCGGGGGGTCGGCTGCCCCTAACTCGCTCGGTCGGAGGTTTTAGGCTTTAAGGTTTAGGGTGTCCTGTGTAGAGTGAGAAGATCAGGAATAGTAATGGAATCAAAGGCGGCAGGGCAACATGCATATTCCTTCAATTGCCACTCCACTATCTCCGAACTCGTCAGGGGCCCCTCTGCGCGTGCAGCTGGGTTAGCAGGCCCCGAGGGGGGCTGCCGCCTCGAGTTTACTCTTTAGGTTTCACGTGTATTTGATAAATGCACATAAAAACAATATTAATAAGCACGGGACAGCTCTTGTAGAGCATTTGCCGGAGGTCACCTGGTACAGTTCAAACCATCCCTCAACTCTACACCGCCATAGGGTTAAGGTTTGCTTAAAGCCTAAGCCCTACACCTTCAGCACAAACAACATCATAGACCCGATTGAACCTTCCCTTGCGCCAGCGTGCTGTCGAAGGGCTCTCCACTGGGGTATTCGTAAGAAAGGTGGGACAACTTCTTCGCTGAAACACCTCATGCAGAGAGGGTGTCTGCAGATGCACGCAATTCATGGAGCTTTGACGCCACAGGGCCTGCAGATGCGGCCAAACTCTCCTGAAGTTAAGGTCATAGAAAACCACCTAGTGGTTTGTGGGGAATAGTTCTTAGGTTAAAGGTTTTTGGTGTTCCAGAGGGCTGTTCCATGTACAGGACCGTGGCTCAACTTTTACATACTAGGGTCTGAAGTAAAATTTCTTATGTTCAGTTAGTTGAATCCCGACAGGTCCCCAGCCATGCCCATAAATCCCAGCCGCAGTTTGCAGCTCCACTAGCTGCCCTAAAGCCATCGTGCGAAACTCCCACTCGAAATGCCAGTGCAAAGCCCTCAGTTTAAACACTGGCCTGTAGACACCTAACCTTAGCCCCGAAGCCTCTCTTCAAGCTCTAAACCCTAGCCATATACTATTACTAAGAGTTAGGCGCCAGCCTATTCTGAAGCGCTTCCCGAAAACTTTGGGCCCAGCGGTTTGAGTGCGCTACCACCAAGTACGGTTCCCGTTTTTAAGGGATCAAATATACAATATATTAACTGTATATAGGGTGCGCGTGTGAATTAAACCGCAGCATAGGCATCAAGGGTAGCCTTGTAGGGGAAGACGATTGGAAGCGGTTCTTTGAATGCCTTACGGGGGCATAAAGATAACCTGATTCTTGCCTACCATGGGGAGCGTCTGCTGCTGCAAACGACGCTGCCTGTCTCTGAGGTGCAGCCAAAGAAGCAGTTCTTCATATGTCCGCACGGTTGTGTTTCCATCGTCCCCCGCACCTGCAGTAAAGAGAGGGACCCCCAGTGGGCTCCCCGGGGTCCCCTCTGTTCCATGCAGCGCCAGATGATGCATTTGCGCACAAGCTTCTCCTACAGGTACACACGCGGGAGATTCACCTTGACGGTAGGCTGCAGTGGAGTCAGACGCCCTCTGCAACAAAGGCCCAGAGCTGGCAACAGAGCCCTCTGAAAGAGCAGCAGTAGAAGCACTGTATGAGGCAACAACTGCTGCATCGCCGGCAGCAGCAGCTGAAGAGTTCGGTACAGCAGAATCATCAGGCGCAGGAACAGCAGCAGCTGCTGCTGCAGCTGCAGATGGAGATACTGCTGCTGCTTCTGCTGCAGTATGAGGCACTCGACGCTGAGGAAATATCTCCGAGAAGACACAACAAGGTACAACTGCAAGGACCAAGTCCGGCAACTCCGCCGCCGTTGCTGTCTGCTGCTGTTGTTGTCGGTGCCCTCGCTGCCCGCACCCCTCATTGCTCTTCACAACAATACTCGTGTCGCGCTTGCTGTTGCAGCTGCTGTCGTTGCTGTTGTTGAAGGCGCTGCCAACTCTTTTGTTCGTGATGGCGTTGTTGGCGCTGCTGCTGCTGCCGCTGCTGCTGCGGCTCCTGCTGTGCCTGTTATGGTTCGTGGGGGTGTACTTGCTGTCGTCAGCATTGCAACCGTTGCTGTTGCTGTTGCTACCGCTGTTCGCGCCGTTGTTCCTGTCTCCGTTGCTGCTGTTTCTGCCGCCATTGCTTCTCGCGCGCCTGCGTGCGTGTACGGCGAGGCCTGCATCGACAATGTCTCCTGCGGCTTCATCAGGGTGTAGGCCGACGAGGGCTGAGGCCGTGAGTAGCTTTTCTTGTACATAGAGACTCTCTCTGATAAGATCAGCATTGAACAAGGCGGGGATCGTCTCTACTGATTCCCGAAAGAAGGCCTCAGCCTCTTTACCCCGCAATCCCCTATGTTGCAAAAGCCACGCAGCCTGTCTTCTGTTGAGCCTCAGTGGGCACTCAAAAGAGCTTCTGCTACAGCTCTTCATAGCGGAGCTCATTGCCTGTTTCGGCAAGCAGGCGTCACCTGTCTCCACAACTGCTCTCTCATAGGAACGTCCTGCGTCTGCTGTTGAGGCAGCAGCAGGTGCTCCAGAGTGTGCATGCAGCTGTTGGGTCTCCCACTGTCGTCTGGCGTCGGGAGGCTGCGCTGCTTCGCTCTTGGGGGTGTAGGTACACCTCGGGTCGATGATCGTTGTGGGGATTTGATATTTAACAGCTAATTCGAACGCCAACTCTCCTCGTCCCCCTCCAACTTCTACAACTCCACTGCCCATCCGCAGGCGTTCGACTCCATACGTTTTGACGAGCCATTCGCCAAACACGGCGCCACGCAGACTCCTAGGGTAAATCCGCTGCTGCTGCTGTTGTTGTTGTTGCTTGTCCTGGAGCGTCAGGGCCGAAAAGTTCCCCCCAAGAAACCCCGAGGGAGGCTGCAGCGGCAGCTCACGGAGCAGCAGATGCTGCTGCTGTTGCTGCTGCAGCTGCTGCTGCACGCGCCGGACCTGTTTCTGAGCCTTCAGCAGGTCAAACTGTCTCCTCAGCCTTCCGTCCCTCACGTGCAGGAGGGGACAGTCAGCGCGCCCGCAGCTGCCAACGAGCAAGTACATCTTGCATACTCTGGAGAGCTCCTGAGCCGCTGCTGACGCTGCTGTCCCTTCTGCTGGAGGTCTTCCGTGTTCTGTTGCTGGATCTGCAGCTAGCTGCTTACACGGAAGAGCCGCACGAGGTCTGCCGTGCAGCAAATGAACGCGCTGAGCCTTCTCTAAGGTGGCAGCAGCTACTGCTTCTGCTGCTGCTGCTACTGCTGCTGCTTCTTCTGCTTCGGCTGGCCTGGAAGCCCGCAGTGCCAAGACTTTAAAGCCTACTACTCGCGTTACCTCTTGCAGGGCAGTCTCAGCAGCACAGGGTGCCATGGCTTCTTGCTACGGCAGCAGTAACAACAGCACACGCAGCAACACAAAGAGAAGCCATGTAGGGAGGCTGCAACGCGAAGGAGTGTTCAGCCACGAGGGTTACAGCTATGGCTTGGGTTCTGAATGCTGTAGGGCATAGGGTTTAGCAACGGCAAGGAATAAAGGCGTCGATTCTGTGGGGGGGACCAGGGTTTATTTAGGGTTTTATTGGATAAGTTTTTATATTTTCGTTAGGTTTTGCGGCTGAGGCCGTAGGCCCTAGCTCGGGTCCACGGTTCAGCTAGGGTCTTGGGTTTACGCAGGGTTTGCCGCTTACGAGCTTGCATGCCAACTGCTGCTGCAGTGGATGCTGTTGCAACTCCCCTTTTCTTTCCAGCACTCCTACAGCCTCAACAGAATCTCCCAACCGGAGTCGCCTCAAAATGCTGCGGTGTACATCGAGCCCACCCACATCGGGGGAAGACACGCTGCAGCAGAGCGCAATACAGGACTCTGATGCTGCTTCTTGTTGTGTCGGTGCGTTCGGTCTCGTAGTATGTGCTGCTGACGCTGTTTCGGAAGAGTCTTTTTCTGTTGCTGTTTCTAGCTTTCCTGCTGCTGCATCTGTCTTCCCCGAACCTTCATGACGTAAAGGGGCGGCTGCTGTTTCTCGTGCTGGAGATTCTGCAGATGCGGTTTCTCTTTTCGCCGTTGCTGCTGCAGCTTCTATTGCGTACGGCGGCATTATGTCGAAAAAACAAAGCCGACGGCCAAGAGACTGCTGGCGGGTTACTATCCCCCGAACCCTCAGCAACAAATGCTGCTGAGGGTGCCCAATTAATTCCTCTTCTTGTTGTTGATGCTGTTGCTGATGCTGTTGGTGCTGCTGCTGCGGAAGCAATACCGGCTGCACTGTGTCTTTGAAGTGTATGGACACCTTTTCTGGGGCATCCAAGCACGAGAGTAGCAGCGAGGCATTCACCTCTGCAGCGGCGGCGGCAGCAGCAGCAGCAGGGTGCCACAAGCAGTCAGCCAATACGGAAACATCTCTAGCCATAGAGTCCGATGGTCTCAAGTGCCCTGTTTCTCTTTCTACTGCTACCGCCCTCATCGCATCTGCTGTTCCTGTGTTGTTTGGTGCTTCTGCTCGTGCTGCCGATCCTGCAATCAGCGACTCCGCCGTTGCTGCTGCATCTCGGACAGCATCGGCGCAAATAAGTCCTTCCATTTGTTTCTGCTGTATTGAGGAGCAGATCCCGACGAAGTCAATCAGAAGGCGTTGCTGCTCAATCTGTCGCCACAGCTGGCCTGCGACGGATCTGCAGGTCTCTGCGTTTTACTGCAACTTCTAAGGGACCCATGAACACCCAAGTTCAGGGCCTTGGGAGAAGATAGGCGGAGGAGTGTTCTGCCCTATGACTAGTTTTCAATGTTATGTTAGGCACAACACCGTGTTGAATCGTGTTGGTCCCCCTGTAGGGGCCCACTGGGCCCTCCCCTGCCCTCCCAATGGGGCCCCCTTCAATCAGTCCATAGCGTTGCCCCCAAAACTCTATTTGGGACCTTGTAAGTCATTTGTGTTTTTGTTGAAGAAGATAAATACTATTAGTGGCTGGAGAGTATGTAGAGGGAAGCGCCCGGCAGGTCTGGGCAGCGAGAAAAACTGCCATTTCCACGGGACTCCTTCGTGGCAATGCACGGAAATTTGAATGCAGCATGCATGCTCGCACGTATGTATACATGCACGTATACATAGGGAACTGGGGCTTCTTCGGTATTTTGTGCTGTCTTAAAGCAGCACTGATTCAACGGGGGTTCAAACCGTTGTTCCTTGGGCTGTAGAATACTGTAGCGCAGAGGAAGGATAACACCGCAAAGCCCCAATGCTCTTGAATTCGCAGGGCTCGAAAACTGACAGAGTCCTCCTTACGAGTTGAGCACTGCACTATGCATGCAGAGGGAATAGGCAACCGGCAGCGTACTTCTCAGTCTTCTCCCATGTACAGTCTTCCCCGCTAACAACGTCGGGTTCGCACTTGACGCCGCAGCTGTAAGGTCTCACGCTTTATGGCTTGGGGTTTACACCAGCTGCAAAGGGGATGTTCGGGGGAAGGGTCTAGAGTTTAGGCCATTGTGCTTTGGCTCCCAATTGTCCAAATGCAGACTGGAAAGCAGCCTCCGGCTGGAAGAAGGACACTGTCATTCTGTAAAGTAAATGCAGCAAACGCTGCTGCAGCAACCTTTGCTGCGGCAACTTCTACTTCAGCTGCTTTATTTCATATCAGCGAGACAAAAAATATGGCAACTAGCAAAAGAGCAGGTGATGAGGGGTCTAGGACACTGCGCTTAAGCAAACTGCTTTCTGGTGCCTCTGGTGTGCTGCACTGGAAAATCTGCGGGAGCAGCGGCAGCTTCTGCTGTTCCAGAGAGTGCAACTCCTGGTGCTGAGGCGACTGGAGCAGCTCAGCACTACCGCTAATTCGTTTTATGGATCCTGCTAGTTTCTATTTGTACTGCTCGTGCTGCATGTGCTACTGATAGAGCTTAATGCTATGGCGCGCGTTCGTCTCGCTTAACGCAAGGACCAGCAGATGCAAGCGCTTAACTTAAAGCTCTCAGAGGGCCTCCGGAAAAATTAGAATTGCCTTGCAGTACGCAAGAGCAGCACCAGCAGCACGTGCTGCTGCAGCCACTCATTCCAGGCTGCTTCTCATATCTGATGCGTCTACATAATGTTGCAGTTGCCAGAGTGCTGCAAACTGCGGTTCATAAACATCTGGCGGTGGAAATCAAACAGCTTCTTACCGGTCTCAAAGGTGTAGTACTTTTCTGCAGCGCAGCAGCACAATCCCAAATCCTAGACCCTAGAGCGGAGGACATAAAATAAACCCTCCACCGTGGATCGTAAACCTTACTAAGCCACGCCTAGGCCATAACTTAGACTGTATGGCCTAGAACCTAAACCCTCACAGCTAGACCCTTTAGCCCAGTTCCTGTGGACTCACGCGATGTGCAGTCGTACTCTCCATAAACTGCAATGGAGAAGAGTTCTTCTCCTCGGGGACCGCCTCCATCAATGACGATTTGATTTTCGTCAACAAGCTGACCGTTGCTGTCTATCTGGAAGACAATTGTCTTTCCAGGCTTCTGTTTGTCGGGTACTGCGCGGTCTGCCTGCACACCGGCGGAAACAATAAACGTTGGAAACGCGGAACAGATTTTGCTACACCACCGCTGGTGGAACACAAGTTAAGTTGCGGAAGACGCACTCTACTGCGACAAAGTACCACCGTGCAGCGTCTAATGTCCTGCTAGCGAGCTAACGTTCAGGGTTTAGGGTTCGGGCGCACCCGTGCCTCCGCCAAAGCTCCCTTCAGAGCCAGCATGATGTTAAATCCTGTCACCTCTTCATTTCTTGTGTCGTGCACGTCAAAATCCTTCAGCCGCTTCAAGGTCACAGATTTCCCCTGAGCAACACGATCCCCAACCCTACACAATAAAAGCTCATTGCTTGGATAGCTTGTCAGGGAGTGGCTTTTGGAGGTTTCTCGTCTAGCAGCAGCACCAGTATTCCCTTAACCATGTGGCACACCTCTTTGTCAGTATTGAGGAAGCAAATGCGGAGAGGCGGTTCGAATGACTTGTTGAAAAGACGGAGAAAAGTTGCTGCCAGGGCTGGCTTGGGCTCGCCACGACCTTGCGCTTGAGCTGTAACTCCACGTGTCTCCTGCGTCGAGTTTTGCTCATCTACACAGCAGCAGAAGCAGCACCGACGACAACCTCAACAGAAACGACATAATTTGTCCCAAGAAGAACGGCTGGAACTTGGGGGGCAAAGCCAGTACAAGACGAAGCAAATGCAGCGCTTGCATAAGCCCTAGAGCTGTTTCTGCTGGTGATACTACGTCCCGTGCTGACAAAGTTCACCTGCTGTTTTTGCCTGGGCGTCGCAAATGACTTCTCCATTGATTGCAAGGGCACCCCAAGGAAAGAAGCGCACAACTTGTGCATCAGGCATCCCGAAGCAAAAGATGTGCGGCACTGGTCCTTCTACCCCTGAGCAAACACGAGGTTTCTCAGGAACAGCATCGGTACAGCAGCAACACCGACACCACCAACAGGAGCGACAGCAGCAAAAGCGGCAGCATACGCTCGTCTACTCCCGGTTGTGAAGCAGACGACACGGCACAGTTGCACAAACGAGGGCGCAGCACACAGAAGATACATAAATACATGTAACAGCAGCTTATTTCCGCAGTGCGAAAAGCATCGGGAGCAGCAAAAAGTAGAGCAGCAAAAACAGCGACCGGAGTAGTATCAGAAGCCAGGAGCACAACATCTGTTTCAACACACAACCTAACCAGAACTGGTAAGGCACGGAAGAGCAGCAATTCTAGTCGTAGAAGGGGTATAACGGGTAGGCAGCAGCAGCAACAGTTTGCATAGCAAGGTACCTGAAAGAACTGATCCGAGAGTGGGGTGTATGCACAGCCAGGCAGGCTTTTTGATAATGAGTTCCAGCTGGTATCGAATTTCTCCGGACTTTTTCTGCTCTCCTCGCAAGTGCAAAAAGGCCCCAGGCGACCAAACAAGAGTATACTCCAAAGGCCCAGCAGCAACAGCAAACGGCGCAAAGCCGTTGCGGTCCGGAAGAGCAGCAAAATGGACACATGGACGCTGCAGCCCCGGAGGCAGACACAGGAAACGATCTTCACCTGCATCCAAAACAGAGAGAAGGGGATAATAGTAATAACACTCAGATTAAAAGTTAATAAGCACTTGCTTAACAAGCCAACAGCAAAACACCCAGGGGCTACTTCCATCCACTACAACAAACGCGCACGCTCCAGCAGCAGCCTTCCACCACTGCAGCAGCATTCCACAGCAGCAGCAGCAACTTCATACGTTGCACTGTCATCGTGCAGAGGCAACAGCTGCGCCGCCGGAACATCCGAAAAAGGGCACAACATCAGATTTTGCAGCAATGGGAGACACAGCAGCAGAAGTACTAGACAACAAAACCAACGCCAAATGCAGCAGAAGCACTGGCAAAAACCCAACAGCAGGGGATGCGCCTCAGCAGCAGGTGTGAGGGCTGTATGCGGTTCTGGCTTACCCGCTGCAATGCAGAGCCGGTTGGTTTGATTTGCAGCTGATGCAGCTGCTGCAGCGCCCTCTGCGTTGTTCTGGGTCGGCTCTGGTGTAGCCCAGCACTGAAAGTCTCCCTTAACATCTTCCAAAAAGCATTTTATCTCCTCGGGGATCGAGGAATCTTGAAGCTGTACCACATTGGCAGGCCGGTGAGCTTCAGCCTCCGAGCGGCTGAAGGCGGCAGCATCCTCACGACGAAGGGGATAAAAACAGTCTCCATCTGTAAACAGACACAGGCATATGCAGGTTAATGTCGGTGTGAAGAGATATAATTGAAGAGAGGAAAACACATTCGCGAGAAAGTAAGACCAAGGGGAAGGAAAAGCGTGGCAAAGAATTAGAGGCTAGCAAAGAGACTAGCGCCGGTAAGCAAGGCGGGCCCCAAGAAAAGCAGAGAGCCAGACATCGAATTGAGAGGGAGACAACGCAACGGTAGGCAGGCAGCAGGCGAACAACTAGAAGAAAAGGCGAAAACATTTACGAGCATCGAAGGAAAATGAGGCAGGTAGTTACAAAAGACAGACAAACAAACAGGAAGAAGACAGAGAGGTGCGAGGGAGTAGAAATGAAGCGGCAACCTGTCCTAAATCCTAAACCCTAAGAGCTAGCAAAATCTAGAGTCGTGTCACCTGTCCAGGCAGAGGTGTAGTAGAGGCGATCATCGAAGGCGACATCTGCAGTGGGCAGCTGCCAATAGAGAAGTTCAGTCTTAAGAGCTATGTACTTCTCTGCAAACTCCTTCAAAGGACAACCCTTCAGAGGTTGCATACCTGCGCTCACGCCAAACCTCAAGCCCCTAACTAACCGTTAACCATAGACTCCAAACGTTAGGCCATAAGCCCCAGAACCCTCACACCCGAACACGCACCAACGGCGCTGCCCTTCGGAGATCTGCATGGCAGAGGACTAAGGCGTAACCTTTTAGGACCCAGGAAAGCGTTCTTAGGGTGTTAAGGGTTAAGGATCAAGGCTCAAAGGTGTTAGGGTTTCGGGTTTGGGGGAAGGAAGGGAGGGCGAGGGTAGTGGAGTCCGCGCGGAGACCTTCGAGTACCTATGGCAGCTACCCTGAATAATGCGGAATAAGGGTTTAAAGGTTAGCATTTTGGGTACCTAGGAGGTGTTCGACCATGAGTTCAAATCCCATTTGTGGTCTGTTAAGTTGCAATGCCCCGTCTTCTGTCTTGGGGACCCTCGGGGGGATGTCTTTGAAGCCTTCTCGCCTCACAACTAGCGCCAGACCACTGGCCTGCACGTCGCTTCTTCCCATCACCTCTACAGGCAAGGAATACCGGACACTCCCCACCTGAAAGGCAGCCGCCTTCGCGTTCGTGCTCGTGAAGTACTCCATCTTCACTTAGCAGCGCTGCACACAAAACCAAAAACCCGAAGCCAAAACCCTAAACTCTAAACCCTCAACACAAAGCGGAGTCTCCAAACGTAAGTCCGCCAAGTCTCATTCGGAGGTTCAGTCCTAGTTGGCACAGATGATCCTTGTGTAGGAAACCTCGCGGGGCCCCAGTTGTTCCCTGTAGTTGTTGAGTGGCTGCAGCCCCTCAAGGAGTGTCCGAAGAACAGGAGGGCCGCATGAACTTCTGAACCTCATTATACGTATGTGAAAGCTTAAGTAAACATCTATAAGGCTTCAAGAAGACAAGAAACCGCACGAACCCACTGAAGGGCAGCGCTGCGCGGGAAGGCAAGTGGCAGGGGTGGAAAGAGAGATCCTGCAGCTGCTGCTGGGTCTGCTGGGACAAATGCAGCCGAGAACTTCAAGCGTGCCCTCACTAATGCATGTGCTGCTACCGCAGCCCTCAGCTGTACGTACACCCTGACGGCGGATGCAGGCCCAGGGTGTCTGCACACGCAGCGGCCAACGCCCCTGCAGACGGAATCCTGGGGACCTCCAGCTTTGCAAGAGTCCCCATTACAGCTAAAAATTGCCAATGTTACCTCCACAACAGCAGCAATAGCACCAGCAACAATAGCAGCAACAGCAACAGCAACAGCAAGAGCAGCTAGCGGAAAATCGAAGGGACCTTAAAGCGTGGGCTCACATTCGGTGGCGGTGTAGAGAAAAAAAGGGTCTGAAAGTTGTCAGCAAACAAATGCTCCAAGCATTAATTGACAATATGTTTGGTGGAGAAGAGCTTTTCGCATGCCTCGATCACCGGCTGCAGCAGCAGCAGCAGCAGCAACAGCAGTCACCCGGGTTGACTGGTTCTGGGGACAGTCCGGCCCCAAGTAACGTCGCATTTCCTTCCCAGCAGAGGCTGCAGTCAAACGAGAAATTCTACTTAATTTTCGAAGTTATTGTGCTGTTATTTTCCAGCCTAGGATAATAAAGAAATTGGCACTTCAGTCATTTTGCCACAGTTGCTGCTACCCACCAGCAGGAGGCGGTTGGGGCCCCCAAGGGGCCAGAGAAACTCTTCTCCACAAGCAACACATCCTCCTGCGATAGCATCGGCAGCTTCAGAAGTAGTTGCTGCTGCAGCTGCAGATCCGGCACCTGCTGTGCCCGCTGCCGCTGCAGCGGGTAGAGTACCACTGGTTAGTCCACTGATACCCTGCCAGAAACGCACTGTTATAACTGACGGGTGCAGCAGCAGCAGAAACAGCACAAAACATCAGCCCATGCAACAGAGTAAGCATGGCAACGTGTGCTTTAACGAAGGGACATGGGGGTGCGTGTGCACCCTGAAACGCAACACAGGTGCCAGTAGGCCTGTGTATTCTTTACAGCACGGAGAGAAAGGCCAAGAAGGCAAAATTCAGTAACTACAGCGGGGAAAGCAGATTCCAGCAACAGCAACCGCAGCTACTCCATCAGGCGTTGTTGCAGCGACAACAATACCACGTGAGCCTCCTTCACGAGCAGCAGCAGCAACAGATATATGAAGGAGCAGCAATGACAGAAGAGGTGACAGCTACGGCAACATTCGCAGCATGAGGAACATCCTGTTGAAAGCTACCAGCCTCACCACCAGTATCAACAACGGCAGCATCAACAGTAGCAGCACGAACAGCAGCAGCAGCAGCAGCGGCACCAGGGTCTGTGGGCCTGATGGAGGTAGGAGAATTGCATTTGCAGAGGGCATTAGCCTCTCTTTCCCGCAGTTTTTTGTTTTTTTCTCTGCCTCCCGACTGGGTGGCAGTCGCTAGAGAAGCAGCATTAGCAGCTGAAGCATTTCATGCTGCAGGTCTCTTGCGCCGAGAGGCTAAAGCCCTGAGACTCTGTGCTCAAGCAGAGCGAAACTTGGGCAAGCCGAAGGCTGCAGGTAAAGCCATGCAAAAGGTGGGCAGAAAGAGACGGGAAGTGGTGGATATTAGACACAAGGCGAGAGGGAGGCAGAAAGAGAGGCACAGGAGGCAGCTAGAGGGAGACTCACATAGCAGAGGGTGCTCACTGCCATTTTAGAGACAAAAGACGGACACCAGCAAACAAAAATCCGAGGACGATAGAGGCAAATGACAGAGATAGGAGACAGAATGACATCTAAGGAACAAAAGGAGACAAGAGGAATCAGGCATAGTACAGCTGTAGACAAGCCATAGAAATACGTTGCCTGCAAGGAAAGCTTTAAATATCTCTAACAAGAAGAGATACACGAGCAAACATTAGATAGGGGCGGAAGCAGAAGCAGAGGTAGAGGTACATACACACAGAGCGACGGAGACAGACAAAACCTAGAGATGCTCATCTCTGTGTTGTAGAAGGAATTTATCTTTTGTTGAGTCTGCATTACTTTTGCCTCGCTGTATGTGTCTGAATTGGAATGTGTCCCTTTTGCTGTCTCTTCTGGGGGCGTCGAAGGCAAGGATTGGAAGCACAGCGGGTTGCGAGGGGAGCAGCACAGATGGGAGCAGCAACATGAAAAGAAGCTTGTTTCCCCCTAATCTGTGGTTATTTTGTTACTAGGTGCGCTTGCGTTGCAGCTTGGCGATCTTCTCATAAAGGAGAAGAAGGCTGCTCGGCGCAGCAGCAACCATACCAATGATGGCATCAGCAAGACCAATGCTGGAGGAGCAGCAGCAGCAGCTTATGAGGAAGCAATGCAATGTTATGGAGAGGCTATTTGTCTCTTTCGGGCTGCAGGGGCCGTTGAAGTGGCAGTGGAGCTGCTCCTGAAAGTTGCTGCAAGACGGGAGCACGAGAAAACACCCAGTGCATTTGCTCTGTGTGCTGAGGCGTATGAAGAAGCTCTTCATCTCCTAATCATACGGCATGACCTGCAACAGGCCGATGAGGTGTACAGGCACTATATTTGCAGCCTCGTTAGAGCCAAAGAGCTACAGAAGGCTCTTTCCGTCGTCTTCAGACGCGTAGAGTGTCTATACACCCTCCGAAGGTTTGATGCTCTCCACAAATGCATCTTGACAGCCGTCTTTCTGTTTTTGGAGATGGGGCAAACAGCCCTGGCAGACAGAACACTCTCAGGACAAGAAGTAATGCAAACCCTAAACCATAGACACAATGCCGTGTATTGTTGCATTTCAGATTCTAGCATTTTGCCGCGATGTCCCAGCTCCTAAGGAGGCAAAGCAGATCAAGAGACAGTCTCCTACGTTCTGCCTATATTTGGACTCTGGCTATTTTTCTTGTGCCTGGTGCATTTCGTTAGTTTCTACCTTGAGGTTGTTCTCTATTTGCCTGCTTCTGCTGTTCGTCTCTGTCTGAAGGTTTTTCCGTGCTTATCTTTGTCTTGCGGTATCGTTTGCCTTTATGCTGAGGTTTGTTTTGCCTCTGTTTTTAGATTCTGTCTGTCTTTTGTTTGAGTATTCGTTTCTCGTTGAGGTTTTGTTCGTCGGTTTCTATTGTTCTTCGTCCTGCTAGTTGTTCTTGTGCGTCCTCGTCTCAGTTCCGTGGTTCTATCCGTTTTCCTCTCGTTTTTTTGTGGCGCTCTCAGGTATTGTTGTTGCTGTAGGGTTAGTGTGTCTTTAATTCGAATCTTTATGCGTGTTTGCGTTGTTGTTCTGCTTTCTTTTGCTTCGCCAGTTGCCTCGTGAATGGGTTTTCTTCTTGGTGCACTCTTTTTCTGCTTACGTTTAAGGCGAGGAGCTGTGATGATGCATGATTCAAACTTGAGAACGAAAATTTTCTTCGCATGCTACTCCCCCATACCCTGGTGGTGCTACTTCGCCTGTTGCAGGCTCTGCGAAGCAGCTTTCTGGGGAGTCCGGAGTTTGCTGCTGGCGCCGCTGCAGTGGACGCTTCCAGGATGGGAGACAACGAGCGCCTCGCTGAAGCCCTAGAAGACCCTGTTTTTCGCCTGCTTTTGCCACCTGTTGCAGCTCTAGCCGCACAAAGAGCTGCAGAAGCAAGAAGCTACAGCGAAGGAGAAAGCTCGTGGAAGGTTCGGGAAATTGGGTTCTCAGGGGAGGAAGTCGATCTGCTCCTCGTAGGCGAGGTCCAGACAACATTCCACTCCCAAAACCTTGAAGTATAAACATTACATCTAATTATTTAACCATAAAGTCTAAACTCTCGAAACACGTTTGTCTCCAGAAAGGCAACCCCACTTAACCGCCCACCCTGAGCCCGTCTACCTGCCAGACCGTGGAATCGATACGCGGTAGACCGATCGAGGTGAACCGGGCTGGCAAACCCTTCCTGAAATTTTTCTCGTTCGAAAGACACTATTAATTTGAAATTTTTTGCAAAACACCCATTTACATCCAAGATCAAAGGAATTACTGGGAAATCAGAGGCTCTCCCCAACATCGGCAGCGTTCTTTGCAGCAGAAACAGCAGCAACAGCAACAGGAGAAGAAACAGCTGCTCCCCTCGATACTGCAAGTTCCGTAGGGTTTCGCTTGGCATTTATTACTTTTATTTGCATGGAAACTGTATTCATCCCTGCTGTAGATGCTTGTCTCCTGCTTGCTCCTCACGGTTCTGGCCACCGGCCCAGTTAGTGACCATTGGAGCGTTTTGTAGGCCCTCACTTCCCCGTCTGTCTCAATACCTCCTTTGGGTGGGTCTTGATTTACCCATTTTTGAGATATGAGGCTTATTTCCCTGTTTAAGTTGGCGACACTCGCAGCCAGTGGCTCAACCGCAGCTGAAGCCGCAGCAGCAGCTGCTGCTGCGGCGGCTGTTGCGGCGTCTCCGGCTGTAACTGAGGCACAGACAGGAGCTGCAACACCAGAGGCAGCCGTAGTGATGTTATCTACCTTGCCGAAAATGGACTCTGCTTCTTGGGTTCGTCGTGGTGTCCCTTTGCGGGACGGTGCACTACAGCGACAGCAACGCCAAGCAGTCATCGCTGCCGCTGTTGCTGCTTTTGTCTCAGTATCTGCAGTGATTTTCCTAGTGATGCGATGCAGTCAATTCCTGGTTCCCAAGGCCTCGGAGATCTACCGCCGAGCCCTGGCATCAGGAGGATCTTCGGGTTCTTCTGCAGATGGGGGGGCAGCATCAGCAGAAGACACCTCATCGGCAGCAGCTGGAAGCTGCAGCCCCCTAATGTCATTTCCTACGTTATCGTCCAAGGAACTTGAAAGTGCGGTGTCTTTACAGATGCAACAATTGTCACTGACCTCAGAGGAGGCTGCTCAGTTGTCTCCCTCGGAGGCGGAGCAGGTTGCCTCAGCGCAGCGTATGCTGCAGGAACTCCGAGCATTAGTGCTGGCACTTGGAAATTTAGTTGCAGGGTTTGAGAAAAGCCTACAAGAAGACGCTAGGGACTTGCGTGTTATGATTGGGGAGCTGCAGCCCGGATCCCCAACGAATGCTGCGGTATTACAACTTCAGGCAGACATTCGAACAGACCGGACGCGGCTGTCTAAGTGGAAGTGGCAGCTGAAGGAGATGCAGGAACAGCTGTATAGGGCATCACACAGCACATCGCAGGCACAGCGCTGCAAGGGACTTTTGGCGGCACGATTTTTCAAGCGTTTCTCGGTCTCGTCAGCGGCTGCTGCAGCACTGGCAGCAGCTCAGACAGTGCTCAACAGCACAAACTTCGGCGGCAGGAGCAGCAGTAGCAGCAGGAGCAACAGCGGGAGTAGGAGCTCCGGGAGCAAGACCACGAGGAGCAGCAGCATAAGACGCACATTCAGTAGCAGGGGTGGAGACAAGAAGCCACCGGCCGTGGATGAAGGTCGTGGACGCCACAGGGTTCGCAAGGGTACGCCAGACCATGAGCAGCTGATGCGGGAACTGCATCATATACAGCAGCAGCAGCAACTATCAACTCAGCTGCAGCAGAGGCAGATACTGGCGGACCTGAGGACGCAGGTACTGCAAGGTATGTTTATGCGGCACCAGCAGCGTCAGCAGCAAGAAAAGGATCAAGAGAAGCAGCGGGCGCTACAGGAGCGGAGTCTGCTGCAGCATCAACCTAGGCGGAACGGAAGGAGAGGACGTGGTGTTGCAGAGGGCTCGCAGCATACAGCGACAGATGATGATTCCGGCCAAACAGGAGCAAGCAGTAGTGATAGAAGAGGCAGAAGCAGGAGACGACAGAACAAAATGCCGCTGAAGATGCCTTTGAGCTATATTGCGGAGGAGGCGAGCGAAGAGGACGACGAGGCCGAAGACAAGCTGAACGTATCACAGTTGTCAGCGGCTGACCTCGGAGATTCAGAAACAGATGACGAGAGAACAGCATGCCGATGAAGCTGCCTTTGAGCTATATTGAGTAGGACACGAGCGAAAGCAGAAGCAGCAGCAGCAGGATGCAAGGATTGCATGAGGGCAACCATGTGTGATGCTGCTTGCAGCCTCCGTGGCAGCAGCGTTCGAGGAGTTGCTACCTCTAGGGGCAGAAGAGAAGGCAGTGTGTTGCCAAGGAGATGCTGCAAGAAATTGAATAAAGAGCAGATATCTCCACACACTGGAGCTCTGTAGTAAAATAGACAGGCTCCAGCAGGATTCTGCTTCCCAGGAGGCCGTGCTGCAGCCTTTGCAGGGTGCTGCTGCAGCTTCAGCATCTTTCGGCGTGTATCGACAGCGAGTGCTCCCCGGTTTCGCCATAACTGCCGTGCAACGGGCACCCGCCAGCAGCGAATCTGTGCCTTACTGCAGAGTCTGCAGTAGGTGAAGCAGCTACAGCTCACGAGACGGCAGTCCCTTCGGCGGAGCTTCTTCCTGACGCAGGAGTCAACTGCGTTCTGAGAGTTACTGCAGGAGCAGCGGCACGTTGCTGCTGCTCCCAGTGCTCCCCTGACGGCAGCAGTGTCCATTAAGAACGAAGCGTGAGACATATTTTCACCTTTACCACCTCTGTAGGAGCTTTAATGTTGACTCTTGATTCCCTTAGACAGATGAAGAAACTGGTGGAGCAGCTGCAGGAGTCGTATCAGCGCATCAGCAGTATCATCGCAAACCGTAGTGCTCGCACCTGCTGCGCAGGGCGGACAAGTTCACAGAAGAGGCCCACAGGCTATCTCATGGTGGTTTCTGCTGCTAGACCTCGCAAAATAATTTATTCTGAGGCAGAAATCCATGCCTCGGCAACCGCAGTTGAAGCAGCAGTTGCCGCAGACGATGTAGCAGCAGTCCCAGCAGGTGTAAGAGTCGCAGCGAAAGTAGCAGTTGCAGCAAAACAGGTGCATCATCTGTAGATGCAGCAGTAAGACAATCACAGGGTTTGAGCTTGTGGGTAGATATGTGGGGATTTCAGGTGAGGTTCCACTTTTTTGTCATTTGATCGCTTCAGCGAATTGTTAAGGCAGCTCACTTCCACACGCAGCTTCTCTAGCATTCTGCTGTATGGACACTCCACCCACACTGCGTGCACGCTCTATGCGGCTGCAGCGGAAAGCTCTGCCCTCCGTCGAAAAGTATCGGTAAGCGACATCGCAGCACCAGTCGGCGGTATGAAAAAAAAATGAATGCACCGTTTCGCAGCGTAAGGTATTCATCTCTCCGACGGCGACCTCCTGTAGTATCAGGAACACCGTTGGCACAGCAAATTATGCAAGTGCTAGGCTGGCGTTGAACAATCAGATCTACCGTCAGGTCAGGTAGCGGCGTTTCCGCATAGATGTGTGATGTTCGGGAGCAACCGGCAGCAGGCTGAACAGTTATATTGTGTAGACCCATTCAGCACAAATGAGGACATCAGGGCAGTTTTGTTAGTTTTTCTGGGTGTCGGATCTCAAGTGCTACACCAGATCCAGTTTGGTGCGTTCAATTGGGCCGTCTGCTTGTGGGTTGTTCGCTGTTGGTATGTTGTGTTCGCTGTTGAGCCGATTCAACTTGGCGATTCAACAGGGCGCAAGACAGCTCCCCACAGAAGCATGAACGAACTTCCGTGACTGGTTGCATGAACATTGTAGACAACTGTTGGAACTTTCTACTTGCGTAGCGTTTGACCACTAGGCGAGGGTAAAGTTTCATTAGCCAGCTTCAGAGAGACTTTCCAACGTCGCGCAGACACAGGAAAAGTGCTCCGGTCAACCCTTTCGTGGTATCAGATGAAAGGGTCGCAAGCGAAATTCTCAAGAATTGTCTGCTGTGTTTGTACATACAGCCAATAAGACTTGCTTGTGCTTCTGTGTGAGGCTGTCTTGCTCCTCGGGTTGCAGCAAACTGCGTTGCAACTCAGTGCTCTCCCCCACCTACAGGCGCTTGAGACACGGAGGTCAGACAGTTGGAGACTTGGGACCAGGGAAAAATGCCTTTAAGGAAGTTTTATTATTTTGGCTCCCTTGAAGTTTAGAATAATTCTGCGATATGATCAAGGACTCCCTTCACAACTCTCAGTAGAATTCACACAACGCCTCCACAGCAGCGTGAGCCGGTGCCAATGCTCATGCTGCTATGGAGGCACTGTACGTGCTCTGCTGGGGACAATAACGCAAGGGGATGAGATTTACTCTAGTGAAAGGTGAAATTTCAAGTAGGTATGGACACTACAATGTACTTTTGGCTCTGTGGGTAGGCGTATGTGCGTGTGTGTATGTGTGCAGTATCGGGGTGCTTGGGGCTGGTTGACCGGCACAATGAAATGGCTGATGTCATGCCTCGCAATTCTTAGCAATTTGCCGAAATATTTTTGTTTGTTTTTTTAAAAAGAAAAATGCATGAAAAATGAAGCGCTATCTCTGCGCTGCAGTGGCACTGCTCCTGGGCGCGCTGGGATCTGAGGGAGCGCCAGTCTTGCCGGTCCTTTTGCCGGCAGGAGAGGCCTCCAATAGGAAGCCGCATGATCATGCTGAGTCTGTTCATTTTTATTCTAGGCGCTTAGTGGGATATGAAAAATTTGTACGGGATTGCGTCAAGGGCAGAAGACACCCTTTCTGTCCTCGCGGATTCCCGCTTACGGGCTTGTGGTTTGCTGCTGCGATTGTAACAACGTATCTCCTGTTTCGGTGTTTCCTCTCCCTAACCTCCACGACAAGTTCCAATGTCCATCGTTTGCTCTCCGCAGCAGAGGGAAACGTCAGCGGCGATAGCTGTGCTCCTTCTCACCCACAGCAGCAGCATCAACAACAACAACCGCACGGGCGCCAAGAGCAACTTCTGTGGATTCAGGTTCAGAAGCAGTTTACATACTTGTCGGTGAGTACGGAAGTGGCTGCCTCCTTGACACCGGAGGAACAGCAGTCCATTCGGGAGGCGCTGAAGCTTTTGATTTCGCTGCACAAAAATGCATTACGCAAAGCAGAGGCTGCTAATGCGTTCAAAGACTCCCTACAGGAGGACAAAGCTGAACTGAATAGGCTACGCAGCCTGCTGAAGCCAGGAGAGCCTGACACGAAAGAAATTGTGCAGCTTGACGCGGATATAAGGGGCGACATGGTGTCGCTACAACAGTACATAAAGGATGCTGAAGATGCACTGGACAGGCTACGCACCGTAGCCTTCAACCAGTCTCAGCACGGCTGGAAGCTGTTGCTGCTAGCGGAGCGTCAGGTGCAGCAGCAGGAGGAGCAGCAGCAGCTACAGCAGCAGCTGCAGCAGCAGCTGCAGCCGCCGCCGCCGCAGCAGCAGCAGTCCGTTCTAGCTGCAGCCGTCGATGCAGTGGTAGCTGCAAACATAGTGCTGGGCTTCCGGCCGCCTCCTTTAGGTATCACGGATGCTCGAGTGCGCCATCAGATTGATAAGATCGTAAGCAGGCAATGTGAGGAACTCAAAACTTGGGACAGGGTTTTAAAACAGCCCAATATCGTAGAAGGGCCTCAGAGTACGCTACAACACAAGGTACGTGTAATAGAAAAAACAATTTATAAAGCACAGCAACTGGCAAAGGGGTTGGAGCAGCTGCAGTTGAGCCAGCAAGCTCAGATCCTCCGGACAATGGGCAGCCACGTGGAAAATCTAAAGCGCTCCGTGGAACGACAGCACAAAAAGCGTGAAGAGCAGGATCGGCGTCGCAGGGAGCGGATGCAACAGCGGCACGATGCACTGGAACTGCATAGTGAAGCGTATACAGCAGCAGCGCAACTGGCCGCTACGGTTGAAAAGGCTGTAGCTGGACCTCCCCTAAGTTTGGAAGATAGCACGCAATTGGAGACCCTCTACATGAAACTAGCTAGCGACCTGAGAAATGCAGAGGCGCTCCATACTGAACTGCTGCGAGGCACTGCACCAGGCAAGCGGCTGGCGGAAGCTATAGCTGCTGCTGCCCCCCAAATAAAGCATCTTAAAGATTTTTTCTACGAAATATGGGGACAAAGTCTGAGCACAATGGCCCAAGATGTGGCGATGGCGGTAACGAAGTTGACGACTGCCCATATAGATCTCGAAGAGGAAGCGATAAACCCTGCAGCAGAAGCACCACCTCCACAATCATCAGGTGGTGCAGCTGCAAGAGTTTTCTCTCGTAAGGAGGAGAAGGCCTTGCTCGCGCTACAACGTGTGCTTGCTCATTTTCCGGAGGGGAAGGAGATGCACAGTCGGTTGAGTGAGTTAATAATGGCGCACAAGCCAGAGCCAAGCCTCATTGGGAAGTTACAACAGCTGCAGGGGGCCCTCGATACCGCCAAAGCAGCAGCAGAACGCGTTACAGAGTTGCTGATATTCCGTTGTCTTGTACCCCTCGATCATGCAGCGGCAGCAGAGGCACAGGCGAAAAAGGACCTGAGGAATCTGCGGGATCAGCAACGAGAGATAAAGGCAGCCGGAAGAAGCTTGTCCAAAGATGATGTAAGGGAGAAGGAACGGCTTGAGGAAGCCCTTGAATGTGCATCGGGAGAGAAACGATCAGCAGCAAAGAAAGTTACAGCGACGTTGGACGCCTTCAAAATCCTTGCCATGCCGGACCAGGTGATTGGGGCGCTGCAGGATGCATTGACTTCTGCAAGGGCTCCCCTTTTCCATGATCCTCCTGTTGTTCCTGCACTTCGGCGTGTTCAATATGCAGGCGCTGTTGTGAATGTTGGACTCCCTGCAACACAGTTCTTAGGTCTTCCATCCGCTGCCCCTGTCAACGTGGGGGCAAAGGGTAGCCATGTGCACCCTCCTGCTGCTACTGGTGGTGCTGCAGCCGTTACCCCTGATTATCGTCAAGGTTCACCTGCGAGTACCCTAGGCAGGAAAATCCGAAAGGAAGGCCATGCCGACGGTGGCAAGAGCCCGCTGGGCTCTGTATCTTCTCTGCTGACTTTACTTGGAAACCCGGCTGTCGAAGAAGGAGCCTCTTTATTTGAGCTATCTCTAGTAGATGATCATACAGAAGACAAAAAACCGAGCCAGACCGTAGCGCCTGCTGCTCTTCCTGTGCAGGAAGCCAAGCCCTTGGACACACAACGCCGAAGACGTGCAGACAGCGCATCCCGCACTACCAACCCACGAAGACGGATGCCACAGCAGGGTACTGCCGGCGCAGCAGCGGCGTGTGGAGAGAAGGTCAAAGTAGGGGAGGAACGCATGCCGAAGAGTTCGAAGGGGTTACAGCGGTGGTGGAGTCAGGACAGGCTCCCGGAGTTTAAGCTAAAAGAGGCAAGTAAGGGATCTACAGCACACATGGCGATGTACGGGTCCTTAGGGGGACTTCAGGATAGGAATCCACTGAAAGAAGGAATGCTGGAAAAGACAAAAAGCCTCGATTCTTCTCTTGCACAGAACGTCATGATGAGTGGGCATTCCACGGTGCCCAAACAGAAGAAAGCGAGCACCATCAGAAAGGCGTTTTCCTTCTTGGCCCTCAGACGTCCGACGGGAAGCACGGACACCCTCCGCGCAAAAGCGGCATCCGCAGCAGCAAGGGCAAAAGCAGCGAAAGCAGCAGCAGCCGCTTCTGAAGTAATGGACATCAGCGTGAAGGGCGCAGGGATGCAGCAAGAGACGGTGGAGGTGACTCACGAGTATTGGGAGAGTGGTGAATCGAAAGGCACGAAAAAGAAAAAGAGCCCTGTGAAAGTGCCGAAATCCAGCAAATCGGCACAAGGAGGCACACTCCGCTGAGATAAAACCGTCTTGAGTAGCAGCAGCAACACCGTCAATAATGGCGCCAGCAACAACAGGTCTAAACCCAAGTTTGTCGTTGTGCAACGGTGTATTTTGTGAAGAGCACAGTCATCAGTCCTCGTGGTAGGAGTACTGTGGAAATATGCTTCAACGGGCAGAGGACTAGAGCCCAGGTAGCTAGCATTGTATGCGTGTTTGAAGAGAAAAGCTGACGACATGGCCAACTGAAACCGCAGGTTCTGCTGGCTTCATTTTGTTTTGGCACCTAGTAGATTCTTTCTGCTGCACTCTTCTTGGGTGCAGCAGCATCAGCAGTTGGAGCAGCCGCATCAGCAGCTGCAGCAGCAACTGGATTCAAGGAGTTCGGTGTATGAAGGTTCTTTGCATTTGCGTTGTGGGATCTTACAAGAGGGAATCAGAAGGGTTCAGCTCCAAGTTTGATGTTTTCCGTAGCGACCTTGGTTTTTTCCCTCTAGTCTGCCTGTGCCACCGGGATTGTGCGTGGGCCTTGTGGCTGTGTCTTTGTATTCGTTCCCGGGTGCTCGTGCACACTCTAGAAGGGCTGAGAGCAGCTGAGGAGTTGTGGGAAAACACAGCATACTTAAGGAGAAATGCTTGCTTTGCTGCGTCTTGTAGAGTTTGAAAGCCAGCAAGCCCTACATACGACATAAAATATGAGGTTAGGTGTGTGCGCTGCGTGTTGGTGTACGACGAACCTGCGACCATGCACGCAAGTTCGTGTTTGCCAGCTGCTAGTTGCCCCAGTGTTTGCCAATTCATAAGGTGTCTGAAAATAGCTAGAGCGGGGCATTTTGTCCCTCAGGATGATTTCCGCGCATCCCGTGTTGGGAGAGGCCTGACGCGCCTGGAGCAGCACGTGAATGCTGGATAGCCGTCGTACCCAGCCGGTGCTCGCAACAGAGCTCAAAGGAAGTCATGCAATGAAGACACAATGCTGTGTAGGTGAAAACAGCAGTTAAAGGGTATTGTAGACATTGAGTGGGATGTGGCTGCATCCGCGGGCTGTATGAAGAGAGAGGAACCACAGGGAGCCAATATTTGCTCAAAAATGGCACCGACGGATATCGACACCCACGCCAGCAAATGTAGAAATGTGGGTACAAGTATTGTTTGCATAGATATCGCAGTTGCTGCACCTGGACATGGTGGTGGTCAAAAGTGTGCTTTGGCTTGTTTGTTTTTGTTGGAATGGAACAATATTCACTTGCTCCGGTGGCAGGTGCTTTTCCAAACAAAACTCTTTGTCCCGTTCCAGCTCTTAGCGCTGGATTCTTACATAGGGGCCCGGCTTTCCTTATGCGGCTTCCTTTTCGGTGTGCTGTGATATGCGGCAACTACTGTTGCGTGCTTTATAGTTATAGACAGACATTTTTGCCCACTCACTTTTTCTGATCTCTATTATTTTTGTAATTCACGCCTTCTCTTCCCTGCCATCTCACTTTCCCAAACATTGTCTTCCGTAAGCAGCAGTAACAGCAAATAGCGCCCTCCACGATGAGGATCCAGCTAGCTAACTAAGGAGCTTGTTAAGGTGTGTTTGGACCAATGAGCCCAGGGCGTAGCGAGCGACCACAGGAACTGCCTGTACTATCGTTGCAGCTAGCAGAAGCCCCTGACTGCACATCCCCGCGTAGCATTGGCACCGGCAGCGGCTCTTCCTATTGCGGCTTCTTGTTGGTTGTGGAACAGAGCAGCGCAATGAATGCACGTCCTGCATCTGGGATCTGTGTACGTGGAACTCCCAGAACCTGAATCTGCGAGAAACCGAGAAATTCTAGTTACATCAGTTCAACAAAACATCACAGACGTCCGCAAACAGTAGTGAAAGCCATGGTTCTATGACAGAATAAACGAGAGTGGGTTCATGTGTCACAACTAATGCTGCTGATGCACCTGGCCATCGCGAATCGAAGAGGAGTGGTTCTGAGGGGAACTTAGTTTCCTACACTCTACTAAGAGAGATAAGCTTTGCGTCGACTTTTATATGCTGGAATACGTCAAGGGCGTCCCTCCTCCCCCCATGTATTGTCCCATCATGCGTGGAATGCCGGACTGGCATCCGCTGTTGCACCACACTAGCACAGTCGTTCTGCTGTTTCGTGCGCTGAAGGGAGCAAACCAGTGTTTTGTGAATGCCGCTTGCTGCATGTTAAGACCATATATACCATGTTAGTTTGTTGTTTGATCCCCCAGTGTTTATTGTTTGCTCGATACAGCCTCCGACTCAACCTGGTCGACAACACCAAGAATGTCATAAATGGCGCTGTTGGCATTCTTAAAGAGACATCTGTTTACTTCGCTGGTGTCATAGTAGATAGCATTAACATAGGGTACATCTATAGAACATTGTTACTCTAAGTGTCCAGGTCAGAGCCGTTCCATTGGCAATTCAGGTGTGGCCCTTGACAAAGATATTGCAATATGTCCTTGATAACCACACCTAAGCATTTATACATTCTTAAGCATAAACGCCTCAGCTAACCCGGGGACCAACGCCGGGACAAGCCCAACCACCCGTCTAGGCGTTCCATTGTTCAATAGGAAAGAACTTACTAGTCACAACACACGCCAAAACGCACAAGGATTGCACTCTTCGGCGGCTAAGAAAGACATGCATGTGTAAAAAGGTGAGTACAAATACTATAAAAATGCTGAAAGTGAGCCATTCAAAGGTGGAAGCGTTCGACCGAATGACTAGAGCACAACTGTTGACAGAGAGGGAGGCGTGCACCAGTTCTTTGACAGCCTAACAGTCTCAAAAACAGCGGCACGCCACAAATACCTCTGTATCTTTATACTGTTTTATATTGTCAAGTGTCCAGACACTTGACAATATAAAAAAAAAGTATGATAAAAGCTTAGTGAGTACAATGTTTAATCCGCCTCAACTCGACGGGAACGGTGAGCCAACCCGTTGGGCAGTTGCTAGAGGCATGTAGAGTTAGTGAAAGACAACAACACGGTGAATGCGAGGAAGGACCCAAACAAGCCCATGATTAATATTAATTTTGAATTATATGTAATGCAACATTTAATATTAATCATGAACTGTAAAATCCCCCCTTTATGGGGGACCAGTCGAACAGCGGGCTCTGTTGCTTGGGAAAGCATAATGCTGGTAGCCCTTCCCGCGAGCATCGGTCTCGCGTTGCACCTTGAGTGTCTTGCCTGGCAACCATAACAACTTTTTAAGTATTACTTGCGCTAAGAATCCGTTACTTTCTAACTTTATTTTGTTTTTGAGTTGTTTAGAAGGCATACCCTAGGATATTAAGATGGTGCGTTCCATTGCAATTGCTGCAGCAGCAGCGTATCTGACCGTGTTCGTTGCGGAGGGTTCTAATGCTCCCGAGATTTCTCCCCAAGGAGTTTCTTCCATTCCGAGTCATGAAGATGGAGTTTCAAATACAGAACAACAACCTGCCCAGCAGTCACCTGCCGAAACAACATCTACCGAAGCCCGGCCTTCCTCGCCGGTTAGCCTTCTAACATCGCTGCTTCGTCTCGCGAGCTCTGTGATTGCCGCGACCCGGTTCCGGAAGCAAGCTGCCGGAGATTCCCAAGTTAGTGATGGGATCAGTAGAACAGGGGAGCCATCCTTTGGAGAATCTTCAAGCGATGTAGCAGATATAGTAGAAGCCGCTCTAAAAGCAAGTGTCATTCTCCCACCAGCACGTGGCCCTGGTGTTCTGGGTAAAAAGGAGGTGGAAACAAGAACCAGATATATGGAGAAGGTACTTCAGCTTATCGAAGAATGTGAGGAATCAGATGATAAAGTTGCTAGCACCGGCCAAACTCTTGGTCATGTACTGCGCCTGGCAGATGATTGCGCCAGTTACTACGACAGATCTGAATTCGACGACAGTGTTACTCTCCTACAGCTCACCGACTATTTATCTGCATTCGATAAGTTGAAGGATGCCCTTAAGCGCTACCGGGGCACCGACGAATCTTCAGATGATGCAGAAAAAGTTGTAGAAGCCGCTCTAAAAGCAAGTGTCATTCTCCCACCAGCACGTGGCCGTGGTGTTCTGGGTAAAAAGGAGGTGGAAACAAGAATCAGATATATGGAGAGGGTACTTCAGCTTATCGAAGAATGTGAGGAATCAGATGATAAAGTTGATAGCACCGGCCAAACTCTTGGTCATCGACTGCGCCTGGCAAGTGATTGCGTCAGTTACTACGATAGACCTGAATTCGACGACAGTGTCACTCTCGAACAGCTCACCGACTTCAATTCTCTATTCGATAAGATGAAGGATATCATTAAGCGCCACTGGGGCACCGACGAATCTTCAGATGATGTTGAAAAAGTGGTAGACGCCGCTTTCAGAGCAATTGTCGTCCTCCCACCGGCACGTGGTCATGGTGTTCTGGGCCCAAAGGAAGTGGCAACAAGGATCCGGTGGATGCAGAAGGTGCTTCAATATATCAACGAGTGTGAGGAGTCAGGTCATAATGTTGATAGCACCGGCCAAGTTCTTGGCCATCGACTGCGCCTGGCGGGCTACACCCGTGGGTACTACGGAAATCCTCAATTTGACGACAATGTTGATCCACAACAGGTCTCCAAGTACAAGCATCTATTCGGAGAGGTGTTGGATGTTCTTAAGCGTCACTTTCCTACGTGCGCTACCACTTGCATACACCCATCCTGTCCTGTTGCTTAGTTGACGGTTGAAAATGCGTGTTCTTGACGTTGGTTAGTGCTGTGGATTGAGTAGAGTTCGCACCAGATAGGTTGTTAGAGTAGGGGATAGTATAGTCACAGCAACTGCGTAGGACAAGGGAGGAGGGCTTTATTGGATTCTTGCTGCGTTTGACTTGTGTGGTTTTGCAGGGAGGCCTAGTCGGAACAAGATGATTGAGGGAAGACGTTATGAGAAGGGACAATCCTAGACGAATACATGGGAGGGATGCATGGATGTCCTGTTGACACGTAGCAGAAGCCGTTGCCAAGCTACTAGATGCAGTCAATAGTAGTTAGTGCACATGGCAAGGGGGTATACAAGAGTATCTTTAAAAAAAATTCAGGCTGGCGGGTAAATAGAGAATTTAGTATTCTCTGCACCGGTGATGCGGACAGAGAAGCCACCCCCACCCACAGGCACGTTCTTGAATTTGTATTGATTTTTATTGCATGTATATGAGCACAGTGCATAAAGTAGTGCGCACGTGTATGGCGAAAGAAATTATCTTCGCCTCCCAACTTTCTTTGTGACCGCCGTTGGATGCCAATCTGACAATTTTGTTGCAAGCAATTTGAATAACCAATTTTGTATTATATTTCAATTCCCTCTCCGGGAGGCAAGTATGCATGCATGCATACTTATCATGCAGCCAAATAATCCCTTTAGATTATATTTGCCTTACCGCAAATATAATCTACACGAAATTGTGGTCGACAAGAAGACAGAAGAGAAGCTCACACATCACAGGAGGAATCAAAGAAAACAGTCACCGCATCTTCTTCATAAGTGGCCTCTGCATATGAGTAATGGATGCTAGGCCACGACAACGGACTACTTACTGGTCATGAGGAACAACGAGTTCAAGTAAACTATTCTATATCCTTTGCAATATCTTATTAGTTTGTATGCCAGTAATTGGGCATGCGTGGTGCCTTGAAGTACATTCAGCTTCCAGTTTGTGCAGGCAGTTAGGTTGAAATTTCCTGAGGCGTTGGGCAGCCCTCACGGTATAAGGTGCCCTCTGCTCTAGCAAGAGTTCTATAATTATGGGAGCTCCAACTGGTTGTAGTAGATATTCAAGCATAATTCAGACATCTTTCCTTGTGTTCGGGTCTGGGTACTGGCCCGACTCCATATATTCCACGAAGAAGGGCAGCTCTTAGCATAATGCCCTATACCCCCACATTTCCGACACATCTCCCCTGTACTACGTGAATCCTCTTGTATGGAGGGGCATTGATAGGCAACGTGCCCCTTGCCCTTACACTTGAAACAAGGATAAGAATCCCTTCTTGATACTATTCGCCTATCCTGATAATTTCGCCTATTATTATTATTTTGTTGCTCCTTCCTTATTAGGCAAGGGGGATTCAACAGTCCGACGCAGACTATCCAAATACTGCCTGATTCTTCTTCGACGGTCCCATGCTCGTACTAGTGTCCTCAATGTGTCAGCCGCCTCATTGCGCTGACCTTGATGTGTCACCATCAGTAACATAGTTGTTGGTTTTTTTTAGCTAAAAATAAATCAACTTCCTCTTCCTTAGGAAATATTTCTCCCTGATCCAATACTCCTGCGAATTCAGATATATATTTTTCTCCATTTCCCTCCCATCTTAATATAGCTATACGTGCAAGTATTTGTTCTTTTGGGCAGAAAATATCTATCATTGCATGCATAATTTCTTCCCAATTCTTCATATCTTTCTTCATATCGTATAGAATAAACCACCACATAAGTGCTTCTCCATTCATGTATGCACGCATTTTGTTTGCCCTTGTTTCTCCTTAGGTATTCCTATCTGGTCAAGTGCAAGTTGTGCATGACGAAGGAAAGGCATCATCTTCTTCCCATCCTCAGGTCTAAGTGTGGACATAGCTGTTTTGTTATACATTATTGGAGAATATGGTGCCAATTGATGGTTATCTATGGGAGTCCTTAATGGAACTAATAGGCCGGTGCTGCTGGATGCCATTGTACCTACCTACCTACCTACCTACCTATACTCGGTATATGCTCCCTGTATCGAGCAGCTCGCGGTACGCCGTCAATACGATTCTACAATTCTCGTTATAAAACTCTAATAAATACAATTAACAACCATAATTACCATTCAATTCCTTTTATTGTTCGGAAAAAAAACGGAAAAAAAACCTCAGAATAATACAGCTGATGCCCGACCATCCTCGTCGAGGGCGGCGGCTCCGTCTCTCCGTCGCAGCGACAGCGCAGCACTCAGCTCCAAGCAGGGTGCCCGCTGGCGAGCACACTGCTCTAATTTTGCTGCTCTTTTATGTAAAAGTCTTCTAATTCCTTATATATTGAATAGTATTTATTCTTATACATGATAGGATGCCTCTTGAGGGTACGCCTGAGCTCTATTGTAGTGCCTACGCACTACAGTATAACCGTACTAAATTATGATTGTATCTATCTATAGTACCCAATTCTTAGAACATTTAGCAGTATTAATTCCTTTATATACTTAATAATGCCCTAATAATAAATTTATTTATTATTTATTCTCTATACAGTCAATAAGCTACTAGAGATCACACCAGAGCTATATATAGTAGTGCCTGTACACTACAGGTGTTGTATCCAAGGCATTTTTTTCTTGAATATGACCATAAAACTAATAAAACAATTATATTTAATTAATATAAATAATATACATTAATAAATTTAATTAAATACCTAATTATACAACCCTACTCGTACCTCTCCCGTCACATACAACAAACCCCCAAGCCCTGTATTACTACCACCCCCCAAGGAGCGCACAGCCCCAAGGCATGCCTTATAGATCGTATTCATGACAAATTAACTTCTTCTCTTTCTTCTACTTAGTGTTTTCTTTAAAATAAACTATTTTAAGCCCTAAACCCTAAACCCTAGCGACAAAACCCTAAACCCTAAACCCTTGAGCCGAGGGTTTGGAGCCTTCCGCTGTGTGTAGGGGGCCTCGTCGTGACGCATCGCTAAGTTCTGTTGCCTCTTCTTTTGCTGCTTTGTTCTTCCTTTAACTTATTCTTAATAAATAGATCTTATTTGCTGCTACAGCTGCTGCTGTTGCTGTTGCTGCTGCAGCGGCGAAGCTGCAACACGTGGGGCCCGCTT